CAGTGACTCAGGGCCCCAGTGGCGGTGAGTCTTGGGAGGGGACGAGACAAGAAGCCACAGAAAAATTTTCCCTAGTCTCTCTATCTCTGCCACTGCGCAGGGGGTGTGGAGCGGGGTGGGGGGGGGTTGGTTGGTTGTCCAAGGGGAAGGGGGTAGGGAGGGCAGCTGTGCGTGAGCTGGGGTGCTGGGGAGGGGGGAAGAGGGGAGTGAAGGGCCTTGTGGAGGGTCTCAGTGAGCAGGAAGTGTGTGGGGTTGTGGAGGCGCGTAAAAGAGGGGGGTGGGTCTAAATGGGAGTTTCTGGGACCAGGAGGAGAGGGACCTAGAGAGTAGTTGTGGGCTCCTGAGCTCTCTCCTCCCTCGCAGGTCCTGGCAGATCTGGGCTCCAAGACGCTGACCGGGCTCTTCCGAGCCTGGGTTCGGGCGGGCTTGGGGGGCCGGCACGTGGTCTTTGGGGGCCTGGTGGGCCTGGAGCAGGCCACGCTGGCTCGCAGTCTTCCCCGGTTGCTGGTGCAGGCCCTGCAGGCCTTCCGCTTGGCCGCCCTGGAGAAGGCAGAGCCCGAGGGACCCCAGATAGGTGCAAGGCAGGAGCGGGGGCTGGGGAGGACCAGCCACCACCCACTCAGCCCTCGTGATCCCCCAGCCAGGCCATGAGCCCTGGTCAGGACTTACTGCTCCTAGGGGCTGGGAGGGGTTCAGGGAGCACGATGACAAACTGTCACAGCCATCGTTGGCTGGTGGGTGAGGGTGGGGTGGGAGTCCCAGGCCCCATGTGTCTTCCCAGATTTGCCATCAGAAAATCACAGCTGCTCTAATAAACATTATTTATGACCCAAGGAGACAATTTTGGCTCTTTCTTGGGATGGGAACTGGGTGGGTGGGCATTAGATCTCTGGAGAGGGGGTGCCCAGGCAGGGCCTAGCCTCCAGAAGCAGTGTCACAAAGACCCCAGAGAGGAGCTGCTAAGCCCCCCATCTCAGCATACATGACTGCTTCCCAAGAAGTGGCAGCAGCTGACTGCCTGTCCCCACTCCCCATCCGTGGCTGACCAGCGCTGTCCCCCCATGTCCGGTGTTTCCATTCAGCCCCCAGCGCTAGCTGCGGTAAGTACCAGCCTGGGATCTTTGCCTCATGTCCTTGGGCTCCTGCCCGGCTGGCCAGTCCCTGTCCCCACGCCCTCATTGCCCGCCCTGGTTCTCTACCCTGCCAAAGAGTCTAGAGGTGTCAGATTGCGTTTCCGGCTGCCTCTTCCCTTGCCCTCCTCCCCTGCACCTGTCCCCTCCTGCCACCCACCCACATTCCCCAGCCCTGGGGACAGAAGGCGCAGACACCAGAGCCAGCCAGAGGGACAGGATGGAGGGGCCTGTGGTAACACTGGGGCTGCTGGCCACCCTGGTCGTGTGTGGTAAGAGTGGGCATCACCCGCCCCGAGGGTCCCTCAGGATGCCCACCTGGGTCCCCCACTGCATGGTCCCCTCCTGCCCCCTCCCACAGGGTGCTTCCTCCAGCAAGAGGCCCAACTCCCCACTCCCGCTCTGCCATTTCTCCCTGGAGGGTCAGGCCACCAGGACCCCACTGCTGGGGAGTGGTGGGACTCCCCCTGCTCAGCCCAGCTCCATGGCCCAGCAGGACCGCAGGCCAGCTTCCTTCCTGGGCCCCCGCCCAGTGCCCCGTCCCTGTCCCCCCAACCCCAGGCAGCTGGGGCCTGAACGAGGAAGAGCGGCTGATCCGGCACCTGTTTGAGGAGAAGGGTTACAACAAGGAGCTCCGGCCCGTGGCGCCCAAAGAGCGGGGCGTGGAGGTCTCGCTGGCCCTCACTCTCTCCAACCTCATCTCCCTGGTGAGGGGCCCCTTTGTGGCTGGGCAGGGGACAGGAAGGCAGGGACAGCTTCCCGGAGGCCTGGCTGTCTCCCAGACCAGGATGGCCATGGAGGAAGCTTGAGGCCCCCGCCAGGCCCATGGCAGCTCCCCTCCCCAGGAAACAGGCCCTGGCTGCTCCCGATGACCCGTGCTGCCCACAGGCCTCCGGCTGACACCCTTCCCCTCCAACTTCAGCTCTGGGGTGCCCCCCATGTCACACTCATGACACGCTTCAGAGGCCATGCGCCCTCTCCCGACGGGGAGTGCTTGGGGCAGGAGTCTGGTTGGGCCACTGCCTGCCATGGTTTCCCCTGGGTGGCAGCCGGAAGGAGGCATCGGTGAATGTGTGCAGGGGTGGGGAGGAAGCATGGGGATGATGTGGACCCTGGGGGACAGTCCTCCTGTGTGATTACAGAAAGAAGTCGAGGAGACCCTCACCACTAACGTGTGGATAGAGCACGTAAGGAGAACACCCTACTCAGAGCGGGGGTGGGGGATAGGATGCAGGGCCCAGGCTCCCCTGTGCTCACTTCTGCTTGGGGATCCCCAGCCTGCCTCAGACACTGTCCTCCAGGAGGGGCTGGCTCCTCCCTATGGAGAAACCCCAGGCACAGCTGCCCTTCCCACCACCTAGATAGGGCCTTCCGGTAGATTAGGATTCTTCATCTATGGGAAAATTATCACAATATCCTGGTTTTATTAGAAGACATTCTCTGCTACCTATTAGAAGTTCATAATACAGATATAAATTTTCTCCATCCACTATGGAAATAGTGCTCCCTTAGTTGTGCAGTGCACATCATACACAGCTGTACATGACAGACTAGAGTCACCACTCTGTACCCACCTGCCCCAAACTCTTTTGTCACAGCTCTCAGACCCTGTGTAGTCTTCCCCCAGGGAAGTGGGCGAGGGGAGTGGGGGAGCCTGGACAACAGCAGAACCCACTGCTGACATTCTTTTCGGGCTTCCAGGGCTGGACAGATAGCCGACTGCAGTGGGATACCGAAGAATTTGGGAATGTCAGCATCCTGCGCCTGCCCCCTGACATGCTGTGGCTCCCAGAGATCGTGCTGGAGAACAAGTTGAGCCGCAGCCCTCCCTGGCCTCCCCTCCATCACTCCACCCGCCTTCCTTAAGCATCTTGAGCCACCCCTTCCAGCCCCAAGTTTCTGATGCCCCCCCCCCCCCACTGCCTCCCCCGGCCCTCACTGTGGCTCTTGTCTCCGTCCCCCAGCAATGATGGCTCCTTCCAGATTTCTTACTCCTGCAACGTGCTCATCTACCCCTCTGGCTACGTGTACTGGCTGCCGCCCGCCATCTTCCGCTCCTCTTGCCCCATCTCTGTCACCTATTTCCCCTTCGACTGGCAGAACTGCTCCCTCAAGTTCAGGTGCAGTCACTTCTCTGGTCTCCTGTCATCCCAGGGCACCAGGGCCTGGGGGAGGAGAATGACGCACCCTCAGGCAGAGGCCCCTGCTCTTTCCTGATTAGAGGCCCCTTCCCTCAGTACGGCCCCTCCCCAAGTGACCGCCCGTACTAGCTTCTCCCCAACCCTCTGCCCACTGCCCTCCCCAGTTCACTCAAGTACACGGCCAAGGAGATCACCCTGAGCCTGAAGCAGGAAGAGGAAGAGGGCCGCTCCTACCCCGTGGAGTGGATCATCATCGACCCCGAGGGCTTCACAGGTGCTGGGAGCAGCGGTGGGTGGGCGGGCAGGCCCCTCAGACACTCACCCATGGAGAGTCACGTCGACACCCCCCAGAGAGGCGCATGTGCGTACACACACCTGGGACACAGACACACAGGGACAGAGATGTGCAGACTGACACAGACGGGCCGACACAGACCAACCCACAAACGCACACACATGCTCTCACCAACACAAAGCCAGTGTGTCAAAAGGAAAAGAAACCCAACTTGGGGGATTGTATGCCAAAGGCACAGACAGGCGCCAGTGCCCCACTTCCTCCCCTGCCCAGGCCAGAAGGGTCCCTGGGGATGGATGTAGCCCACAGATGAGGGGGGCGACTGGTCTTTCTAACCCCAGAGAGCCCCCATCCCCTGTCTGTGACCAGGCTCACATCTTTTATGGGCCCCCCCTGCTCCTCCTGCCCATCAGAGAACACCCACATCCCACTGGTCCCCAGGCTGCTGCACGATGTTTGGGAAGGGGCTTATCTCCCTGCCTTGTCATCCCCAAGACTCCTTATTTGAACCTTATGTGGCCTCAGCTTCTGTGTTTTCCAAGGAGAAAAAAAAAATCAGTCTCAGAGGAAAATTTCCCGCTTGCAGATCAAAACTTCTGTCCCAGCCCCCAGGGAAAGACACCCACAGACAGACCCTGAGCCCTCCTCTGCGCCTTCCTTAGGGCCCTGCAGGCAGGCCTGGCTGCTCCTGCAGTCCAGCTCATCTACCCAGCCCTCGCCCACCCCGGGGCCCCCTTGGCCCCCTTGCCTGGCCTGACCCCAAGGCATCCATGTGCCACCCCCAGAGAATGGGGAATGGGAGATCGTGCACCGGCCGGCCAGGATCAACGTGGACCCCAGTGCCCCGCTGGACAGTCCCCACCGCCAGGACGTCACCTTCTACCTCATCATCCGCCGCAAGCCCCTCTTCTATGTCATCAACATCCTGGTGCCCTGCGTGCTCATCTCCTTCATGATCAACCTGGTCTTCTACCTGCCGGCCGACTGTGAGCCTCAGCATCCGCCCCAGCTCCCCGGCAACCTGGGGCAGCCTCCCCTCCTCCCCACGGGCACCCAAGCATTGGCCACCCCAGCCCTGCCCCTTACCTCCTCCCGGGAACCAATGGGAGTCACCACTCCTGAGTCTCCTTGCTCAGGGTCCAGGCATGATGAGCATGTGGCCAGCCAAGGGGAGGGCTCTGTGACCCTGTCCGACATCCCCCAATTGGAAGGGCCCCTGGGGGTTCCATCCCTCGGGGACCTTACTTCTGCCTCTCATGATGGGCTTCCCAAGGACCCTAGGGAGAACCACTAGACTGTTCCTCTGTCAGAGCAGAGAGGGGATCTGTCATGGTCACCACTGTGTGACCGTGGGTCTGGCACACAGGAGGCCATCAGCTGTTGAGGCATGGGCAGATGACAGGGTCTCTAGGAAGCCAGGGCCTGGGGGCACGCAGTCAACACTCACCTAGTTCTGGAAGGACACATGTCATCTCTGCTCCCGTGGCTGCAGAAGATTTACCACGAGCCGGGCATAGCACATCCCAGGGACAAAGCGACGCAGCCCCTGGCAGACCAGGAGTGTGGCCTGGGGGTGGTGGGGTGGGGGAAGGTTTCCTGGAGGAGGCGGTGCTTGATCTGGAGATGGGGTGGGAGGCACACTGCAGATGGAGCAAGGGCGTGGGGTGGGGCGGTGGACCCGTGACCCAGCGGCCTCTGCACAGCGAGCTCAGGAGCTCAGGTGGAAAGAGCAGGGTGGTGCTGGGCTGGAGTCTCGGAGTGAAGGGCTGAGAGAAGGAGCGTTGTCCTGCTGGCATCCTGGGAGCTTCCTGTGCAGAGCTGTGATTCAGGAGGGCTGAGTGGCAGGGGATGGGCTAACTGACAACAGCTGGTGTTCCCTGAGCTCATACCCAGGGCCAGGCGAGCCATGAGGTTTAAGCCAGACTCTTTCACTTCATCCTGGCAACATTTAACAGTTGAGAGAACTGAGGCGCAGAGAGGTTAGGCTACTTACCCAAGGTCACCGAGCCAAGCCAGTAAGTAGCAGAGCCAGGATTTGAACCCAGGCCCTCTGACTCCATAGCCCATGATGTTAATCAGGGCACTATGGCACTGTGGACAGTGGTGCAGGGGCCACAGTGGGATGCTCTGGGCCCGGGCCCAGAGGTCGCAGCTAAGTCCCGGCTCCCCCAGGTGGCGAGAAGACATCAATGGCCATCTCAGTGCTCCTGGCTCAGTCCGTCTTCCTGCTGCTCATCTCCAAGAGGCTGCCGGCCACATCCATGGCCATCCCCCTCATCGGCAAGTGAGTGACACCCTGCCATGCCACGCCCCGTCTCGCCCAGCCCCTCCCCAGCCCGCCCCGGGGCTCCAGGCTGAGCATGTGCCCACAGGTTCCTGCTCTTTGGCATGGTGCTGGTGACCATGGCGGTAGTGATGTGTGTCATCGTGCTCAACATCCACTTCCGCACACCCAGCACCCACGTGCTGTCAGACGGGGTCAAGAAGGTGAGGGCTCTCGGCAGCCAAAGGCTGGAAACTGTCCCCACATCCCTCTGCGGTGAACTCACACAGGGGTGTGCGTATAAGTACCCCTGCTCCACACGCCTGCGTGGACGTCTCCCCCAGGTGTAATGTTACAGAAAGAAGCCAGACCCAGAAGAGCACAGACTGGCGATTTTCTTTCTACGACGTTCAAAATGGACCTTTAGTGCTAGAAGTCAGGAGGGTGGTTGCCTCTGGGGGAGGGTAGGAATTGATGTAGGGGAGGTGTGAGGGAACCCTTTGGGGATGATGTTCGATATCTTATCTGGAAGGTGTTTACACGGTTAAACACTTCTGTAAAACTTCACCTAGCTATATGCTGAAGATTTGCTCATACTCCTGTTTGTTATACCTCAATTAAAAAGGTGAGGACTGTGGCGCCAGGGGACCCAGGACGGGGCTGTCCTTGCTTCTCGGCCACTGCAGGGCCACCTGGCTGTTCTGGGACAGCTGAGGGTGGTTTAACAACTTTTGTGGGTTTTAAGCATTTTAAAAAGAGAGCTCAGCATTTGGGACATTTTTCTCACTTTTTTGTTTTTTATATATAATTCATTTTCAAGAAATGAGTTCTGCTCTGTGCTGTGAGTAATAGGGAGAGTTGGAAGCAATCTAAGTGTCCATCAGTAGGGGATCGGGGGATAACGACAGGGTCAGACTGGGGAGCATTTTGCGGCAGCCGGGGGTGGAGTCACAGATGTTTGGATGTGTGAAGGTTTGTAAATGGCCTTCCTGTGTCCCCCTGACCTGCTGCAGCTCTTCCTGGAGATCCTACCCGAGCTCCTGCACATGTCCCACCCGGCGGAGGACGGGCCCAGTCCAGGGGCCTTGGTCCGGAGGAGCAGCTCCCTGGGCTACATCTCCAAGGCTGAGGAGTACTTCTCACTCAAGTCCCGAAGTGACCTCATGTTCGAGAAGCAGTCAGAGCGGCATGGGCTGGCCCGGCGCCTCACCACCGCACGTGGGTCCCTGGTGGCCTGGGGCTTGGCCCATCCACGGGAGGTGCAGGGGGCAGGCCTCATGCCCACCTCTGGCTTGGTGTCCACAGGCCGGCCCCCAGCAGGCTCTGAGCAGGCCCAGCAGGAGCTCTTCAGTGAGCTGAAGCCAGCTGTGGATGGGGCCAATTTCATTGTCAACCACATGAGGGACCAGAGCAATTACAATGAGGTGAGTATCGACAGAATTGCCATGTATAGGTGTTCAAGTAGTACACTGATCAAGTGTATCCTATCTTAAGGGGCACAGTTGCCCTCAGAGACACATACCAACTTGGATGAGGGAGTTCACAGTGGGTGCAGATTTCAGGCCCCCCAGGGAGCACCAGCCCCTGACTAGAACCCCACAGCAGGACACTGGGCCAGGCACACAGGCTCACAGCTCTGCCCTGTCAAAGCCACACTCTGGGCATCCTTTAGGGTCCCTTCTTCCTCCCAGCTGCCAATAACTTTCTGTCCCTGCTTAACTCCGAACATTATTTGGACCCAGCCAGACATTTAAAAGGCAGCCCTATGTGGTTGTTCAATATTATACAACTTTTTAAAATTCTCTCTTGAGAAAGGGGTGCCTTTTTCCAGTTCACGGAGGGGTAGCAGCCAAGCGGAGCGGCCAGGAGGGGTGAAGGGGAGGTTGGGGGCCGCTCAGCCTTCCTCAGCCCCAGGGCAGAGACTCCTGGCGCCCACTCCACTCCAGCCCCCGGAGCCCTGCAGGAGTGGGGCGGGAGGCTGTGGCTCTGCTCTTGCTCTCCAGGACAGACAGAACGACGAGCTCTGCCTGTGGCTGGAGGGGGCTTGGGCTCTGGACCTGCGCTGGGGACACGCCAGCATGTCCATCGGCTGCAAGCCGGAGGAGGCCCCCATGGATACACGAGGCTGTGCCTCTGTCACTGGCCCCGGCTTGGGGGTGGGTCTGCAGTTTGAGGGCCCTCCTCACCCCACTGTCTCTGCCCTCCACCCCCAGGAGAAGGATAGCTGGAACCGCGTGGCCCGCACCATGGACCGACTCTGCCTGTTCGTGGTGACGCCCATCATGGTGGTGGGCACAGCCTGGATCTTCCTGCAGGGCGCCTACAACCAGCCTCCACCCCAGCCTTTCCCTGGGGACCCCTTCTCCTACCAGGAACAGGACAAGCGCTTCATCTAGACTGGGCCCACCTGGCCCAGCTCCCAGGGCAGCTTTGAGAGGGGCCCTTGGGCTGAAAGGGATGGGCCTGTGGGCTGTGGGGGAGTTGTGTGGACAGGGATGTCTCAGAGAGGAGAGGCCTAAGAGAGGAGAGGCTCCCTGGGGAGGCCAACTCCTAGCCCTGAGACTTGAGCCTGTTGGTCCTACAAGGCTGCAGCGGAGATGAGCCAGGCTTTCCTGAGACCAAGGGAGGGAGGGAGAGGCTGCAGTCCTCACAGCAGTTCCTTTGCAAATAGAGACAGGAGCCCCCAGAGAGGTCGGAGAGTGGACATCGGCTGTGGGGTGAGGCAGGACAATCTGGGGGGAGTCAAGGGGTGACTCAGGGGCCAGGGAGGATGCCACTCAGGCCTGCCTTTTGGGAGCCCTCTGTGAGGGGTCAGAAAGACAGAGGCCTCTTCTTGCCTCCCCCTCGCCCAGGTCAGGGTAGAGCGGGTGGCATCCTGTGCCTTCACTTCCCGGCTCCTCCAGCCACCCTTCTCTGGCCAGCCCCTCAGCCTTGGGCTTCTGAGGCCCCACCTGGAGCCGAGGTTGGGGGCACCTCCCTCTCCAGGCCCCTTAGGGAAGGAGGATTTTGGCAGAGGTGGGAGCACTGGGGTAGCAGAATGGCCTTGCCCAGCCCTTTCTGCCTTGGCCGCTCTGTCTGGGTCCCTCCAGGAAGCTGAGGACCAGGGTGGAAGCATCCAGAGACCAGAGGTCAGCCCATCAACCTCAGGTAACATGCGCCACCCTAGATCCCCAGAACTCAGCCCTCCCCCCAGGAGTGTCCCCTCTTGGGCACCTATCCCTCTTCCCCAAAGCAGAGCTGCCAGGCAAGATCTGGGACATACTTAGACTAAAAGGTTATTCATTGTTCATCTGAAATTCAAATTTCACTGGGCATCTTGCATTTTTATTTACTAAATCTGGCAACTCTGCCCCAAAGGGAGCCCCCACCAATCCTATCCCAAGGGCCTGAAGCTGAGGCTGCTGGAGCTGGGAGATGAGGTTCTGTGTGGTAGCCTGCCTCCAGGATGGCCCCAGTGATCCCCAACTCCTGGTATTCACATCCTTGTGTGGTGCCCTCCCACACTGTGCCAGGATTGGTCTGTGTGACTGACAGAATGAGGCGGAAGTGATGGTATGTCACTTCTGAGATTAGGTTATAAAAGACATTGCACCCCAACCTCTCCCTCTCTTGCTCTCGCTCCCTCATTGTCACTCTCAATTGGATCTCTCCCTTTGGGGAAGCCAGCTGGCATGATAAGCAGCCCCACAGAGAGCCCCCAGGGCAAGGAACAGAGGCCTCCTGCAGGCAGCCATGGGAGTGAACTTGGAAGTGAATCCGCCAGCCCCAGCAGAGCCTTCAGATGAGATCACGGCCCCATGAGAGTCCCTGAGCCAGAACTGCCCAGCTACGCTGCTCCTGGGTTCCTGGCGCTCAGAAACTGTGTGAGATAATAAATGTTTGCTGTTTCAAGAGACAAAGTTTTGGGGTAGTTTCTTACACTTGCAGTGTGACCTTCGGTGAGCCTCTCCTCATCTCATAACTTCAGTTTTCTCATCAGCAAAATGTGTTTAAAATAAATCCCGCTCATGGGGTGTTGTGAAAATCAAATCTGTTAGTAGGTGTAAGGGTGCTTACGTGTGTCCTGCAAATTTAAGGGGTGGTTGTTTAACTCACTCCTCATTTGTGGGCCTGAGTCACAGAGGATGGCCCGTGGGGCCCTCACCGGGGTCTCCTGCATCCACACCTGATGACAGAGAGGACTACAGCAGGTGCAGAGGGCCCGATTATTCACCTACCGAGGTACAGACAGACTTAAGGTCTTCACAGCTCAACCCATTTCCCTCAGAAGGAATCGGTGGCCTCATGGGCTCAGGTATACAGAAGGTGAGATTTTTAGTCTTTCGGTAGAACAGAGGGAAAAGACAAATCATTTAAAACCAAAAGTGACCCTAGTTACTTCTGCCTTCCATATGAACCGTCCACAAATTCAAGGTACAAATCTTTAATTTTTTCTCTCTCAACAGGAAAACTAGCTTGGACTTACATCCATCAGATGAGCAGGAAGTCCAGGCCTTCCCTGGAATCATCCGTTAACTCCAGGAGAGTCCCTCTCACGCACAGAGAGGGCCTCAATCAGATCCCTCGGCCACTGGCATTGCTTCTCTCTGCCACACGATGGCGCTGTTGGCAGCGGGTCTTATAAGCCCACGTCCAGGCAAAGCCTCAGTTGAGTCAGGCGGTGCTCAGGTGGTGTGAACCTTCCAGAGAAGACAACCCCAAAATGCCGCACCCGACCAAGGGTGCCTCTTGTGCACATGCCCAGGGTCACACAGCACCCACCACAGCACTCCAGCCCCAGGGTGCTGTCAGGACGGTCCACTCTCTGGATGACTTGGGACTCTATCTCCTTCCCTCCTAAGGAAGCCACACCCCCAGGGACCAGCATCCTGTGAAGTGAAAGGGTGTCCCTACACACTGCCCCCAGGCCAGCCGGGCTACCCACCCTCTTTCAAAGGACAATTAATCCGTTAGGAACACCCTCAGCTGCAAGGAGCGGATAACCTAGAACTCTGGTTTAAACAAATAAGATTTCCTCTTCCTCACATAAGAATGGTGAGGTGGGTTCCCTCATTGGCTCAGCTGTCCCACAAAGCTATTAGGGACCCAGGTTCTGTGTCCTCTGCCCAGCCCTACCTCCTTGGCCTGTTGGCTTTGTTCTCATGCTTGTTGCCCCAAGTTGCAAGCTGACTACTACAGCTCCATACATCATATCTATGTTCAAGGCAGTCAAGGGGCCAGCCATTTCCAACCCCTTTTATCAGGAAGCAAAAGCTTTTCCCTGAAGCCCCTCAGCCAACTTCTGCAAATATCCCATTGGTCAAGATAATATCACGTGGCCTCCCCTGTCTGCAAGGGAGACAGCACTGGTGGTCTAGTGGGTAAGATTCAGTGCCTTCACTGCCAGGACCAAAGTTTGTTTGCTGGTCAGGAAACCACACCACCCATCTGTCACTTGTCACACTGCGGTGGCTGCATGTTGCTGTGATGCTTAAAGCTCTGCCATGGGTATCTCAAACACCGGCAGGGTCACCCATGGTGGACAGGTTTCAGCGGAGCTTCCAGACTAAGACAGACTAGGAATAAGGACATGGCCACGCACTTCTGAAAAAACTGGCCATGAAAACCCTATGAATAGCAGCAGAGCATTGTCTGATACAGTGCCGGAAGGGGAGAGGACGGAGCAAAAGACCAGGCAGGGTTCTGCCCGGCTGTGCACAGGGTCACTAGCAGTCAGAATCAACTCCACGGAAAATCTCCTCTTAATGCATCCCATACCTCTCCCCTAACCCCTCCAGCGCGGAAACCATCACCCCTCTAAGATGATGCCCCCTCCTGAGAACACCCAGAAGAGTTCTCAGCCTCTCTCCCAGAGCAGAGAGAAGGGGAGAAAACAGGAGTTTAAATCTTCACACACAGGGAGGTGGCATAATTCAAACCAGAGGGAAGTCAGTCTCCATAGTCTTCCTTTTCCTTCCCAAACACTTGTGGGAGAAGGGAAAGGAAGGTCAGAAACGTCAGAACATCAGCAGGGCCACCTATGCCTGGGGCAGTGCCGCGGGTGCAGGCGGACAGGTGCTCCATATTTAGCAGAAGCCATTAATGATCTTTGACAAAGTGTGGTATTGGAGGGTGTAGAGAAGGGAAGAGATATTGCTCTGCAAAACAGGTGAGGGAATTGAGTCTGGGGGGCACCAGAGGACAAAGTGGGGAGAAGGAGCTGTTGGTTTTGGAAATTCCAAAGCAAGTGGGCGAAGCTTGGGGGTGGTGCAGTCAAGAAAAACAGTGTAGGGCCAGAGCAGGACTGAACACAAAGGCGAGCCACCCACAGCGTAACTCAGTGAGAGCAGATGACCAGGAAGGCAGCTGCCACCACTAGCGTCCCCCCGCCCAAGTCCTGGGGAGGACAGGAGGGACTTGTGGCCCTGCTGCAGGAGGAGGGTCTGAGCCAACCTCTCTTGGATCTCCAAGGACTGGGCATGTCGGCTGACTGCTGGTTTACTGACACATTGAAATGCCACGGACATCACCTGTTTGTGGGGAGGGGGACACGTCCTCAGATGGTGCATTCCCTCCAGCCCTCAAAGGCCTCCACCACCTGTCCCCCAGAATGCCGAAGGGGGGAGTGGCTCAGATGGGAACCTGCATTTTCTGTCTTGCCCACGTACTAGGACACGCTGACCTGTTTGCTTGGCATACTTAGTCAGAAGACAGGTGGCCTGAGCCTGTGGCCACGGCTGGCAGCAGGGCCCTGGGCTCCTAGATCAGCCTCAGCTACACCCTTCCCCTGACCACAAACCAAAAAGTAGATGGAACTTGTTTTCCAGCCCTTCTGGGTCCCCTCATCTGACTCTCCAGGGGCCACAACCTCGATCTTGTGTGCCTGCCCCACTGGACTGTGAGTTCCCGTGAGGAGCTCAGACTTATCCTTGGGTCCCGCCAGCCTAGTGTTGTGCCTGCCACATGCTGGGGACTCCATAAGTCAGTGCATGACTTAATTAATTCTGAGGCCCCCCTCAGGAGCCTCTGTTCAGGGGCTATTCTATTTATAAGAGCCCCGAGTTCCACAACTTTCTCAGCCTTCCTTCCTTCAAAGCTTACCAGGCCCATGACCCATGCCTCAGAGATTGGGAGGACCCTGACCTGGCGTCCTAATTTGCATTAAGGTGTCAAAACCTCGGGGGCATAATGCATCTTTCTATAGGCATTTTACTCTCCAGTGTCTTGGCCCAGTGGAGTAACCCATGAAGATGTCAGGCTGGTGGGAGAGGTTTGGGGTCTTCAACTATGTCACAGAGCAACTCAGGTACAAACGATGCTTACCCAACGCTTCACACCTCCTCCATCCTGACCCACTGGAGGGAGCAGGAGGAGGGAGCCAGCCTCACACTCTGCTTTCTCTCCCACAGTTATCTGTCTCTGGCCATGTCCTCAGTCCCCCAGCTGAAAGATGGATGGGAGAGTTGGAACGACTGAGTCTGAGAGTGGGGATGGCAGCTGGACCATCTCTGTTGGGGCAGACAGGGCCCCTCTGTCCCCTCCCCAGCCCAGGCAACCTGAGCCTGGCATTGTGTCCATCCTGGAACAGCTGACAGTGCTGTGGTCAGACAGCTGGTGGGGCTGGGCCGGGCTGGCCAGGCTGGCTGGGGTGGGAGTGTGGGTTGTTACATGAGACTCAGAGTCTGCATCTCTCTACCCCTGCCCTGCGGAGCTACAGTCCATCCTGTCACTGCCTGGAGCTGTGGCACCATGCACAGGGGCCAGGGGCCGCTGCTCCTCCTGCCACTGCTGGCTGTCTGCCTGGGTACGGACACAGGGGTTCGGGGGCCCGGGGAGGCCAAGAGTAGGGGTCCACAGCCTCCAGGGATGGAGGGTCTGGAGGGCTACTGGAGCCTGCCCCCCAACCCTAGCTCCCTGCTTCTCCACGTCACACCCTCCCGTGGCCTCCCTCTCTTTCTGCCCCGAAGCCCCTGCACCCAGCCTCACCGCCGTCTGTTGCAGGAGCCCAGGGCCGGAACCAGGAGGAGCGTCTGCTCGCGGACCTGATGCACAACTACAACCCCCATCTGAGGCCCGCCGAGCGCGACTCGGATGTGGTGAACGTCAGCCTCAAGCTCACCCTCACCAACCTCATTTCCCTGGTGAGCCGCAGGCCTGGAGGGTGGCAGGGGAGAGGGGACCAGCACACCTGGGCCCTGGGACCTGCTGGGGAGAGGAGGGAGCTGGCTCCAGCAGCCAGGATGGGGGAAGACCCCACAGGGGAGAGCCTGGGGAGTTGGAAAACTCCCATGTGGGCTGCCCAAGAGGCTGGGGTCCTGTAGGACCCAAAGGTGGCCTATAGGGACTAACATCTGGGGAGGGCAACTGATGGGGGCTCAGCCCTCTGTTCTGCACCCCCAGAACGAGCGAGAGGAGGCCCTCACCACCAATGTCTGGATAGAGATGGTAAGAGGCCACCCGCTGCCCTCTATCAGGCCCCCCACCCTGGGGCTCCGAGGCCCTCAGAGCTGCCTGTTCCCCTGCACTCACATCCCTGCCTCTCTGTCCCCCTGGGCTGGACCCCCTTCCTGGGGGCGATGTAGCAGAGAGAGGGGCCTGTCCACCCCCTCCCCCTGCAGCAGTGGTGTGACTACCGCCTACGCTGGGACCCACAAGACTACGAGGGCCTGTGGGTGCTGAGGGTGCCGTCGACCATGGTGTGGCGGCCGGACGTGGTGCTGGAGAACAAGTGAGGAGGGGCCGCAAGCAGGGGTGGGGGGACAAAAGGGCACAAGGGCAGGGCCCAGCAGGACAAGGAGAGGCTCTGGGGGAAGAGACAGCGAACAGAGGGTGCAGCCTGGGCACCCGGCGGGGGCTGGGAATACGGGACGGAGCAGGTGCTGAGGGTGGGCCAGGGCCCTGATTCTAGACCTGGCTCCATCACCTCTGGGCTGGGCAGCTTGGGGGGGCTGCACCCTCCCTCTCACACGGGGATGAGAAGAGCACCTACAGAAGCCATCAGGGTCAATGGGACAGGCTGGAAAAGTGTGGCCCTCCGGCTCCGGCACCATGCAAGAGCTTGACAGAGGCTGGTGGCTCTTGTGACCATTACTGGAGCTGGAGAAGGCAGTGGTATTAGGAAGCTGGCTGAGGGAACCTGGTGGGGTGGGCATGGCAGGGAGGTTGCTGGGGGAGGGAGCGGTTCCTGTGGCCAGTGGGGACCAGGCAGGGGCGTGGTGGGCTGGGCAGGGTTGGTGTCCCCATGTCCCATCCACAAGGGCGGAAGGCTGCTCTGGGGAAAGAGTCTCAGCCAAGCCGGGGCTGTGAGGGTGTGAGCCCCCAGCCCATGGCCTGGCCTGTGCACAGTGTGGACGGCGTGTTCGAGGTGGCCCTCTACTGCAACGTGCTCGTGTCTCCGGATGGCTGCGTCTACTGGCTGCCCCCCGCCATCTTCCGCTCCTCCTGCCCTGTCTCTGTCACCTACTTCCCCTTCGACTGGCAGAACTGCACCCTCATCTTCCAGTGAGGCCATTTACTGGGGGGGAGGAGCTGCTCTAAGAGGGGCCCTGGCTGGGTGGGGGACATGAGGCTTCTGGCCATGGACCTGGCTCCACCTCTCTGGGGCCTCTGTGCCTGTCTCAGGCCCAGACCTTGAAGACACCCACATCCCTTCCTGCTAAGCCCCAGTCCCCTCACTCGTCCTCTTTCACTGCCTCAGTTTCCCTATCTGTGCCCCAAGGGGAGAAATTAATGTCCAGGGTAGGTGGGTGAGGAGGCATACACATGCCCATGACATACGTGAATGCACACACACAAGACCCCTACACCCTATAGCCCCACGGAGAGGCAGGGCCTTCTCTGCTTTCTCATGTACAAATGGGGGAAAGAGGTCCGGGTGAAGGTTTTCCCATATTTTTGAGGAGCAGTCTTTTTACAAGGAAAACTTGCAGGGAGATCCTCCCCATAAACAAAGTCAAGAGATACAGACTGTTCTATGTTCTAACCATTGGCCCCTCCTGCCCTGGAGGCAGTGGGAAGAAGGAACACACAGTGGCCCTGAACTAGTTTTTTCTTTTTTCAAAGATTGGTACCTCAGCTAACAACTGTTGCCGATCCTTTTTTTTTCTTTTATTCTTCGCCCCAAAGCCCCCCAGTACATAGTATACCCTAGTTGTGAGTGCTTCTGGCTGTGCTATGTGGGATGCCGCCTCAGTATGGCCTGATGAGTGGTGCCACGTCTGCGCCCAGGACCCAAACCGGCACAACCTTGGGCTGCCGAAGCAGAGCGTGCAAATTTAACCACCTGGCCGCAGGGCTGGCCCCAGGCCCTGAACTCTTGACATCTTGCGACCACACTGAGCCGCAGCCTACTGGCCCTTCAACTCAAACTTCCCCGGACCCCAAAGAGCTGGAATTCCTCTCCCACATCTCACTGCCAGAGTTTTGTGGAGAACCGGCAAATTCTTGGCTGCACTTTTTGTTTTGTGTTTTTTTTGCTGAGGAAGATTAGCCCTGAGCTAACATCTGTGCCAATCTTCCTCCATTTTACATGTGGGTCACCTGCCACAGCATGAGTGGTGTAGGTCAGTGCCCAGGATCCAAACTCGAGAACTGCGGCCACTGAAGTGGAGTGCACCAAACTCAACCACTACGCCACGGGACCAGCCCCTTGGCTGCACTTTTTGAAGCAAGACTGCTCACAGTTGCCCTTAGATGACTGTCTCTGTGGCCTCATGGTTGGGTCTACCCACTCACAGATTTCTCCTCTTTCCCTCCCCATCTCCCAGGTCCCAGACCTACAGCACCAACGAGATCAACCTGCACCTGAGCCAGGAAGATGGCCAGACCATCGAGTGGATTTTCATTGACCCCGAGGCCTTCACAGGTAACCTCCACCCAGGGTGCTTGCTGGACCCGGCTGCGAGGACAGGGCCAGGCCAAGATCTTGCCCCCTCCCACGTAACTCAGATGAAAACTACAGTCAACCATAAAATATATTCTTTCAAGGGCCCAAAAAGTTCTGGTTTTCCCCATGATAATTACTCCAGTTGTGGGGGAGGGAGATCAAGTATCCAGTCTTGCCCCCGCCCCGACCCCCATGTCCGTCCCTCCATGGCGCTCCTTCGGGCACACGCCGGCTGCCCTGCAGCTGGGTCACGTGGGCTGCGGGGTCTGCCCTGGCCACACTCTCCGTGCCCATGCCGGCCTGCTGCCCGCAGAGAACGGGGAGTGGGCCATCCGGCACCGGCCAGCCAAGATGCTGCTGGACATGGGGGCAGGACCGGCCGAGGGGGCGGGTCACCAGAAGGTGGTCTTCTACCTGCTCATCCAGCGAAAGCCCCTTTTCTACGTCATCAACATCATCGCACCCTGCGTGCTCATCTCCTCCGTCGCCATCCTCATCTACTTCCTTCCTGCCAAGGGTACCTGCAGCCTGTGGGAGGGGAGCCATGACCCTGGCCAGCAGGACAGCGGGGAGCTGGGAGGGCACAGAGGGGCACCACCACCTGAGACTGGGGACACTGGGCTCCTTGGGGGGTGGGGGAACATGCCCCATGGCAGGGAGGTTGAGAGCTGCTCTGATGGCCTCTTGGTCATGGTCAGCGGGTGGCCAGAAGTGTACTGTCGCCATCAACGTGCTCCTGGCCCAGACCGTCTTCCTCTTCCTTGTGGCCAAGAAGGTGCCCGAGACCTCTCAGGCGGTGCCACTCATCAGCAAGTAAGCCTGGTCCTCACACCTGCCCCCTGCTGCCTTCTCTCCCTTCTCGAGAACTCCGGGCACTGCCCTCCTGCCATGCCCACCCCCACCATCCTCAGTGCCAGTCCCTCATCCCAAGGGACTAGGGGGAGCTGCTGCTAAGGGTGGGGGTGGCATCTGGGGAAGGAGTGCCGAAGGGCCAGCCCTACCGCCTGCCCACCCCACCCTGGCAGGTACCTGACCTTCCTCCTGGTGGTGACCATCCTCATTGTCGTGAATGCTGTGGTCGTGCTCAACGTGTCCTTGCGATCCCCACACACGCACTCCATGGCCCATGGGGTCCGCAAGGCAAGGCCCCTCCCTGTCCATTCCAGCATCCTCCTGCCCTGTCCACTCATCTTCCTCTGCACCCGTCTGTTATGTTACTCACCCGCCACATTCAGCAGCAAACCTGCCCTGTGTGTATCTTGAAGCATGCACCATATGGGTTAATAATAATATCGAGCGCTTACTATGTGGTAGGTGTACTATGCATACCAAAATATTTAATCTTCATAAAACCTCTGCAAAGTGGGTATTAGTAGCATCTCCATTTTACAAATGAGGAAACTGAGGCACAGAGAGGTTGAGTAGCTTACCCAAGGTTGCATGGCTAGAAAGTGGAGGCAGCAGGATTCTGTCCAGACAGGCTCCAGAGTCTGTGTGATCTGCAGCTCACCTACAGCAGTCAGATGGGTCCTGTTGCAAATGCAGATTCCCAGGCCCACCCCAGGCAGCCTGGGCCAGAATAGCAGAGGTGGGGCCCAGGAACCTGTTTGTAACACGTGCCCTGGTGATTTTGGTGTGCACAGAAGTTTGGGGAACCAGGCCTAGGGTCTGGCACAGAACAGCTGAGCCGTATAGGGCCAGGCCATTGCCCCTCACAAGCTGCCTCTGGGCCCCCAGCCCTTCTCCTGCTCCGAAGCCCAGCCTAGCTGCCCAAACGCCCAGGTCTGCTGGCTGCTGAGCTAAGCCACCTGGAACGTCCCTCTCCAGGTGTTCCTGCAGCTCTTGCCTCAGCTGCTGCGGATGCATGTTCGCCCGCTGGCCCCGGCAGCAATGCAGCACGCCTGGCCACGGCTACAGAATGGCCCCTCCTCGCCGTGGCCAATCACAGCTGGGGAGGAAGGGGCCCTCTGTCTGCCTCGCAGCGAACTCCTCTTCCGGCAGCGGCAGCGCAACGGGCTGGTGAGGGCAGCACTGGAGAAGCTAGGTGAGGCAGGGGCGTGACACACTAGGGACACTCCTCCCCAGGGACTCCAGACGGGGAGGGCTGTCTGTTGGCCAAGGTGCCAGGCACAGCAGATGACTGTTGGGCAAGTGTCCAGGATGGGAGACGGAGGCTGGAGTCCCTAAGGAGAGGCCACCTTCTCCAACTGTTTATTCTACATTCTACTCCCAAACCTTACCCTCTCGCCTCACCAGAGAAAGGCCCAGAGCCGGGGCAGAGCCAGGAGTTGTGTGGCAGCCTGAAGCAGGCCGCCCCGGCCATCCAGGCCTGTGTGGAAGCCTGCAACCTCATTGCCCGTGCCCGGCGCCAGCAGAGTCACTTTGACAGTGTAAGCCAGTCCAGGGGTGGGGTCAGGAGTTGAGTACCTGGTGAGGGATTTGGACTTGAGCTGGGGACAGAACGAGTGGGGTGGCCATGGGAGGGCAATGGGATGGAAAAAGTGGAGTTGGGAGTGGCGACGGGGAGGGACATCGGGGCCAGAGGACCATGGAAGAAGCCAGATTGAGGCACGGAAGTAGGTGAGAAGGGACCAAAGAAATGGAGAATGGAGGCCTGCTGGATGGCCAAGGATGGTACGGGGATCGAGGGTGGGCTTTGTGTCACCGCTGGTCATCCCACACCCTGCCTCCCATCCTCAGGGGAACGAGGAGTGGTTCCTGGTGGGCCGTGTGCTGGACCGTGTCTGCTTCCTGGCCATGCTCTCCCTCTTTGTCTGTGGCACTGCTGGCATCTTCCTCATGGCCCACTACAACCGGGTGCCCTCCCTGCCATTCCCTGGAGACCCCCGCTCCTACCTGCCCTCACCTGACTGAGCCAACCAATTGAGGCTAGCCATGCGGAGTCTTATCAGCTGTGTTCTGCTGCTGTGGTCACGAGGGTGCTCTTTGGGAAGTGCCACATGTGAGCCAACCAGCCCTGAGAAAAGCTGGAGAAATAAAGAGACAGAGCAGGAGTCCTGGAGTGGTTGGCGATGGGCTGTGGGCAGGATGTGCTGGGGGTCAGCATCCATGTGACATTGGCCAGCTAGTCCTGGCACTCCCCTCACTTCAGCAAAGCATTATCACCCCGCTATCATTTCTGAAGCCCTAAGGACTCTGTTTTGTATGCCGTCCCCAACTAGGCAAGGTCCTATCCCTCCAAGCCTGGGCCTCCCTTCCCTTTTATGAGTTTCCCATAGGCTCCTAAAGGAGGAAAATCAAGAGAGATGTGACACCTCCAACTGGCACCTCCCTCCCTCCCCTGCCTTCTGGGAGCTGTAAGCACCCAATACTCACCTGGGCCAGTGACCTTTCCACTCATGCACATTTTGTCATTGATCACAGAAGATTTCACAAGTTTTATCTTTCCTCACTGTTAAGAGCTTATCCTACCACGGACAATCAAGAGTCACTATTCCCCCATGTTTGAGATGGGCAAATTGGGGCCCCCCCAAGAAAGGGGCTTCCCAGAACACTGGTGGCTAAATAAGGTTTGGAGTCCAGAATTCCTGACTCAGGCACAATCTTAGACACTATGGCCTGGAAAATGGACCCCTCTTCCTTCTCTTCTCAAAGGCCAGGGCGTCTGCAGTGGTCTCAAAGGACGGTTAAGACAAGGATGAGCTAGGCAGGGAGCCTGGGAGGTGACAGGGAACCGCTGGGCTCTGCCTCCCAGGAGGAGACCCTGACCAGCCTCCCTTGGCTCCATTTAGGAAACAAGGCCTGCTGAGGTCTTCCTGGGAGAAGCAAGGCCCTGCTTTGAGAGTACAGCTGGGGCCTGAACTCCGTTGGTGACAAGACAGCTTGGGCAAGTCATCTGTGCTCCTTGAGCCTCTGTTTCCTCGTCTGTAACTATGGGCACAGATGTCAGTTCTTAGCTACCCTCATCACAGGATCAAAGGTGCAGGGGGGCGATTCAAAATGTGAAAAGTGCCACATAAAGACCTGATAACGGGACATTGCTTGGGGACAGGGGAGCGGACCCGGGAAATGCCACCCCCTCTTCCCCAAATACAGGGTTGCTGGCTTTGGGGGTCAATCTACCAGCAGGTTCATTTCATTTATTCCAGTGAGTGTGTGTGTGGAGCAGAGACTTAGTCCAGATCCGGAAGGCACTCTGATGCGGGTGGGACCATCTCTGGTTCCCGTAAGCCTCTTACTAGCTTTGTCACCCGGGCTGAGTCCCTCAACCTCTCGGCCTGTCTCGGAGGGCGGAGATCAGCTCTGTAGCTCCTGGCACAAGGAAGCACAGATTAACGTCAGCTGCAGCTTATCGAGGGCTATTGTGTGTAGCGCCCGACACTGAAGATCTCGTTCAATCCACACGGCACCCTGAAAAGGCAGGTACTGTAGTCTAGCATCGCCAGGACCCAGGAAGGGACAGCCTCGGGGAGGCTGAGAGAGTCCCGGACCGCGCAGCCCGCACTGGGGGTGGAGCCGGGATCTGTCCCAAGCAGAGTCCAGAGCCCGCGGCTGCCCCGTTCTCCGAGCCCGCCAAGGGACGGGCTCAGGACGCGCTCTCTCGGGTGGGGAGCGCTATTTTGGAGCCGCCGGGCGGGCGGGAGGCCGACAGGGACAGAAATGGAGACATCTGACTCCAGCAGCACAGCCGGCTGCCAAGCCCAAGCGCCTCCGCGCAGACGCCCCGGGGGAGTGTCCCGGGATACCCGCCCCCCGCCGGGCCCGCGCGCCGACGTTCCGCTGAACCCAGCGCCACCGGAAGTGGCCGGACCCTAGGCGGAGGGACCTGGGGGAGCGGAAGTCACTCCGTGAGGCAGTGGGGACTGCGGCGGCGAGAGGATGAACAACAAGTTCGACGCGTGAGTGGCGCATGGCCGTCCCCCGGGGCCCCTTCCCCCAACCGTTCCCCGCGCCTCCGCGGGGCCCGCGGCGGCGCACACTCTGCGGCCCCGGCCTCCCTCCCGGGCTCGGGCTGCTGGCCGGCTCCGGCCCAGGCAGCCGGCAGGGAGGAGGGGGCTGGGAAGCGGGGTGCAGGGGTCCCAGGGACCCCAGGCCGTCCGGACTGAGGGCGAAGCGCGGGGGCCGAGGGAGAGGTGACCGTGCCGCCCGGAAGGAGCTTTCGGACGCCCCGCCCCTGCGGCTGCGGTGGCCGGCGGCGTGGAGGGGCGGAGACCTGGGCGGGTTGGGGGTTTCTGCAGCCTGGCCTCCCGCCCCTGAAGCCAGCCTTCCTTGCACGCTCATTCTGGCCTGGGCAGGTCGCCTCTCCTGTGAGGCTCAGTTTTCTTCTCTGCAAAGTGGGCACGGTCACAGAACCCGTGTCGTAGAGTTGTGAAGATGCAGTGAGGGAATGTGGCTGCTGCGCTGCACTGCGCAGCGGCGGCTTAGTTAGGGAATCGTCAGCGTCTTCTGAGACTTCTTCCTACTTCCTTTCTCCTCCCCCTCCTTTCTCTTCCAGCCCTCTCCTAGGGCTGCTCCGTTTCCTGCCTAACGGGTTTACTTGTCATTGCCCCTTTCTGCGCTTGTCTGTGTACCCTCTCTGATGACTAGTTCCAGTAGCAAACAATTCGGAGGTGCAGAAAGGAAATGCAAAGTATTTTTGCATCTTTCCCTCCAGCGATTCTATCTTGAGGTACATTATATTCTTAGCTCTTCCCCAGTAGTCTGGTAAATCTGCTTCTCTTCCAAAGACCTAGATTTCCAGTCCCAAACCCACCAGCTCCCAGTTACCTGACAGCAGAGAAGTTACCCAGTCTCTGAGCTATTGTTACTCAAACCTCACTAGTGGTTAGTGGCCTGCTGCTGCACTGGGGTGTAATAAGGATCAAATCACATTCAGCAGTGCTTAAAGGTTCTTTGTAAATTGCTAAATAGTGAAGTATAAATGTCAAGTGGAGTTACTGTATTAGCATAGGTTGTGACCCACTGCTGCTGATGGGAAATTGGGGATTTTTCCAGTACAGCAGGTGCTGGTGTGCAAATTCAGGGGTCCTGGATTCCAGCGGTGCAGGCAGCTCCTCAGGACTGGCTCCTGGCTGCTGAGAGGGCTCAGCTGCTTGAACACAGTCTTTGGCGGAGCACTTCTGGAGCCTGCTGCTTAGCTGAGCCGATCCCTGTACTAACCTGCTCTGTTGTCATGCAGCCTGCAACACCTGGCTCCAGACCTAAGGCCCAGCACAGTGGTGCTTTCTGCCAAGCCTGTACCCCTTCCTCCACTGAACTAAACAAATCCAAATTTCATTTTAAGAAGACACTGTGGGTTATCTGGCCAAGTCCTACCCAAATCACTTGGAGGTGTGCAGTAAGTTAATTTAAGAATCATAATAATAGCTTCCACAGGCGTCTTGCTCGATACTTGTCATATTATTTGTACTCCTTCTAATAACCCTTCCAAGGCGATCTTGTTACTTCCTTTTACAGTTAGGAAACATGAGACTGTCTCAGGTTAAGTGACATCCACAACCACAGGAAGGGCCATATGGTGGGATTCAAACCCAGGTTTGTTGTTTAACCTTGGTTCAAGCACCTCTTGACAAAAATTAACCTGGTCATTTTTAATTAGTTCTAATTATTAACTCTTCCTTATGCTGAGCCAGAATTTTTTAACATCTGACTTCTAGCTATGCAGGAAAAAACAAAAGCTTTCTTTTATTTGAAATTAGCAATTGAAGACAGCCCTCCTGCCCCTAGTTTTGTTTTTGTTTTTTATGCAAAAAGTCTGCAGTTTGCAGACCATTGTTATGTATTTGGCTTCCACACTCTTCGCCACTGGCTCCTAAGGACATGTTCCAGTTTGCTGGAATCCTAAAAGTAGGCTGCATGGAGTTGAGTACTGGAGTCTAATCTGATGGGCTCGGATTAAAGGGGAGCTCTAGCCTCCTTTACTGTGTGGGATTGACTCCCGTAAATGTAACCTAAGACTGTAATTGCTCCCCGCCACCCACATCTGTCAAATCATTAGCTACCATTACTGTTGATCCTATTTATATGTGAAGCCCTAAGACGCTTTCACTGTACTGCAAGTACCAACTGTGGTAAGTGGTAAGCTTCGTTTTCAGATCTAGATGCCATACCTGATTTCGTCCCTGTTCTGTCTTTGTTAGCTTTTGGCCCATTCTTAACTATTATCTGTACCACTTATTTGGCATTCATTCTATTCTGCCTTGTATTGCTTTGGTTTTAGAAATCCATTCATTAAACATGTTAATTTTCTGCCACCGTCTGATGCTGGACATGTAAAGATGGATTAGACCAAGTTCCTACCTGCAAGGAATAGGTCTAGTCAGAGAGTCTGAGGACGTACCTGGGCAGAAGCTCAGTGAGCTAATTACCTGCCACTCAGTCTCAAGGCTTCAGAGATGCTAATTGCTCCCCTGAGTCTATGGAGCACTGACATTTTAGTCTTGATTGTGTCTTGGCTCAAATCCAGCTTCAGGCTGGGAAGGGTAGCCTCTGGAAGATAGGATGACAAATGACTTAAGTGTAAGTTCCAAGGGCAGGGTGGTTGGTTAGCTCCAGCCTCAAGAAATAACAGCCCAAGATAAAGGTCCTTCAGGGTTTCCATTTACTGTCTTAGAAGGGAGTCTGGAATTGTGGTCCAGGGATCACCATAACATTGTTGCTTCTCTGACATAATTATTTTTGCTATTCTTTTTCTGTTTCCCAGTAGTAATTAGCAGCCAAACCACTGAAAAGAAAGGCACTTATATGCTTTGCTTGGAGCTAGCAAAATGAAAGATGCTGGGGTGACTGTGCCCCTCTTTGAGATTTAAAGGGAAGGGACCCCAGAGGATGTAGCAGGGGCTTGGGAGCTGAGAAGAGAGGGAAGTGGTTTGAGTCCTTGGAGTGTGCCCTAAAGAAGAGAGTTAAGAGCTGTCTTGGGCCTAAGCAGCAACCCGTGACATGTCCATGATCGGAGACAAGAAACTGGCCGTGGTAGTAGAGCTGGGACAAGTACAAACATGTGTATGGGGAGGTTCAGAAGAGGAGAGCCTGACTCAGCCTAGGGAGAGATTAGGAAATATTTCCAAGAGAAAGTGGCCCTTGATCTGAGTCCTGAAGGACAAGTTAAGTAGGGGAAGAGGGACTGTCAAAGGAGAGACCACGTGGGGAGCATAACGGAGGGCTGAGGTCCAGGAACTGCAGGTAGAGGGAGAGGAGTGTGTTGGGACCAGGCAGGAGATGGCATTGGCACATGTAGGCAGAGCAGGGGCCTCTGCATCAGGCTGAGGCCTGAGTGTGTGTATCTTATCTCTCAATCGGGTCCTTGGGGACAGACTGTAGTATCTGAGACACACAGTAGGTGCTTGGGAAGTGTACCTGCGTGCTAGACAGTCTCCTTTTGAAAAAGAAAGCAAGCCAACTCAAGCTTAATAAAGGGGAAGGAGTATCATAAGCATGGATAGTGGTCTCCTGAAAGTCCAGGGAAGCTGAGCTAAGCCAGTGAGAGGGAGCATCACAGACAGAGCCACTCTCCTCTCCATTCTGCTCATCTGCTGCATTGCCTTCGCCCCTACTGGCTTTCTCTGCTTTTGCTCATTGTCCTTATTCCCTCATAGCTTTCCTTGTAGGGGCCCATGTGACTGCCCCAGCTCCTGAATCTGTGTGATCTTTCATCTCCTGGATGAAAAGCCGAGGGAGGAGTCTACTCATAATTTTGAGCAAGGCCCTGAGATGTAGGTATTGGCCAGACTGGACTGCCCTTCGGTCAGGTGCCCTTCATGGTCATGCCTTGGCCAGGGTGGAGATGAGGATGTTCACAGCACAACACATGACCACCTGAGTACATCCCTACCGCTAGGGTGTGACGTGGGTAGAGCAGGCACCCCAACACACGGCTCACTCATCCATTCTGATATTTATTAAGTGCTTTTTACGTTCTGGGCACTGGGGATTTGTGCGCAAAAAAAAAAAAAAAAGCATAAAATACTTGACAGCACGTTTCTGTATCTGTATAGGGTAATTTCTGAGTTATAATTTGAGCATTTCTAGGACCTTTCCTGAGAATTGCCTAATTCCGTTTGACTGGATAGTCGTTAGAGCCAGAAAGGTGATTTCAGAGAATATCCATGATAAGTTAATGGTCCAGCTCTAGACTAACGAGCATTCTTACTATCTTTTTTTTTTTTTTTTTTTGAGGAAGATTAGCCCTGAGCTAACTACTGCCAATCTTCCTCTTTTTGCTGAGGAAGACTGGCCCTGAGCTAACATCCATGCCCATCTTCCTCTATTTTATACATGGGATGCCTACCACAGAATGGCTTTTGCTAAGCAGCGCCATGTCCGCACCCAGGATCCGAACCAGTGAACCCCGGGCCACTGAGCAATGGAACATGCGAACTTAACTGCTGCGCCACCAGGCCGGCCCCCAATTCTTACTATCTTTATGAACTCACTTTCCATTGAATTTTTTGCCTGAATCCAGTGAGCTGTAGGTGCACCTGAAAGCCTTTGGGTGCTTCTACTGCTCCTAAAAGGGCAACACATAAGGTACTTTTGACCCATCTTAGAAGGCCAGAAGACGATCACTTGTTCTTTCAGTCATTTCTTTTTCTTTTCATTTAACATGATTGGACATCTTATACAATATGTTAGGGCAGCATCTTGTCCTAGGTGCTGAGATACAAAGATTAATAAGATGCAGTTTTAAGGGATCCCTCCATCCAGTAGGAAAAACCAACATGGGAGGAATGGCACGTAGGCTGAGGGATAGTGTTTGCAAGTAACACAAGACGTGGGAATATATGTCGCTTTGAGGGGTGGGAGGTGGGGAGGAGGATGTCAGTAGGCAGGAGTCAGATTCTAGAGGATCTGACACTTCGTTGTACTTTATCCTGCAGGATGGGCATCAAAGGGCAAGGGACAGTTGAGAGTTTTAAGCATGAAAGTTGAATGATCAGATTTGCATTTAGAAAGATCATGCTGGTGGCCAGGTGGAGGATGGATAGAGGATGGAGATGATTTGTGTCGGGGAGACCTGTTAGGAATTTATTCTAGTAATTGAGATGGCGGGAGAAGAGGGCCTGGACTAAACAGTAGCAGTGGGGAAGGCTGGGAAGAGATGGTTAGAAGAAGTGGCCCGAAAGATAGGGAGCTTTTTAAACTTCCTTTGAAATGCCAAAGCACTTATTTAATCCAGAAACTCTACTCATCGTTGACTTTTTGGCGAAGAAAACAACCCCTTCAACTGTTTACCTCTTGCTGCTTTGCACTGCCTGTTAGAAACTGGAAGAGTGTGCTTTCTGGAATTCACAAGTTAGCCGATGGGCATTTCGTTTTTGTTTAATCCTCCTAATTGCCTTTCTACATTCCCTTGCCGTTCTCTCATCTCAAGTACTTCTCATTGCCTGTGTTTTGAGTGACTTCAGGTTGGCCACAGGTGTTCGTCTAACCTTGTGGCTTTGTGGGGTACGCAAGAATCAGCTCAGTCATGGGATAACATTGTTTTGCCTTCCCATTCAGATTGAAAGATGATGACAGTGGGGACCATGATCAGAATGAAGAAAACAGCACACAGAAAGATGGTGAGAAGGAAAAAGCGGAACGAGACAAGAGTCAGGGCAGCAGCAAGAGGAAGGTGAGTTTTGTGCTGCTCAGATGTACTTGCCTTTGAACTTGAGGCTTGGTTATCTTGTGGAATCTGTTTGTTTGTCTGGAAGATACCAGATTACCTTGATGGCACCCTGTTTTGGAATATCTGATTTTGTTCTCAGAAAAAGATTGTGAATGACTGGAGTTCATTTTGGCACTTAGAACTTTTCCCTTGCTGCAGGATCTCGAGATGCTGCCTTGCTTTCCAGCATTCTGCTAGCCTGCGGTAGGGGAGATTAACCCTGGAGTGTAAGGAGGCTGTTAGTTGTTTCATAAGCTGCTGATAGGTGTTTCAAATCCTGCACATCCCTTGAAATTTTAGCCTCTTTAGTTAGCAGTAGTCTAAGCTGAAAGTGACTTGGAAAAGAGAAAATTTAGAGAATAAGATATAGGTAGATCAATTTCTTTCTTGAAATATCAAAGCAGTCATTAATTTGTTTATTCCACAATATCGAGTACCCCTCAAATGCAAGCATTTTAGGTGCTAAGAGGACACAAAGGTGGGTCAAGGAGCTTACATGTAATAGTGGCAATAATAATAGTAACTGACATTTTTTGAGCACTTACTGTGTGCTAGGCACTGTGCTAAGCACTTTACATCTGTTAAGTGATTGATCCTCTCAGCAACCCTGCGAGATGGTTGTTGTTTACCCCATTTTGCAGATAAGCAGCTGGGACAGAAACAGGTTATGCCACTTGCTCAAGGCCGCTAGCCAGTGAGTGATATTATCACAGAGGCAGCAGTACTTGGCCTGGGAATATGGCCTGAGATAAGGTACAAACATAAATACCTGTGACAGGAAGTAGAAAGTTACAGAAGCCGTAGAACACAGATAAAATGTTCCAGGAACTTAGAATCAGTTAACTACGAAGATATTTACTGTGTAAGCAGAATCTTGGGCACACTGCAGATAATTGAGGCTGTATCCTTTTTAATTGTGGGGGTGGTAAGGTGGGACACTGTAAAGTGTATTTTCAGTCTCGGAGCATGTGGAAAATCCCAAGGATTAACACACATTCTTTAATTCACAGGCTGTTGTCCCAGGACCAGCAGAGCATCCCCTGCAGTACAACTACACTTTCTGGTACTCCAGGAGAACCCCCGGCCGGCCTACCAGCTCACAGAGCTACGAACAGAACATCAAACAGATCGGCACCTTTGCCTCTGTGAGTCCTTCGTGGTTTAATGCAGTGAGCCTCGGTGATACATTCATGCCTGCATTGATGTCACTGTGTTTCTTTACCCTCCTGGTGACCTAGTCAGGATTCTGGTTTCCTTGGTCAACTGACCTGAGTCCCTGAGGTCAGATTTGTTCATTCTTAGATTTCTCATTAGACATCCATAGGTAACATACATAGATATCAAAAAGTATGTGAATTGTGGAATTGAACAGAAGGCGACAATACAGAAATACAGGTTAGTTTGTTTAAGTAGGTATTTATTGAGTTTTTACTATGTGCAGTGTCGTGGGAGATACAAAATTTTATAGTACAAAAAGTTTTATAGTACATGAATTTTATAGTTCTCATGAAGCTTGGCAATAAAGTCAAGAGTAAAGTTCGAAAGTTTCTCTTGTGTTTAAGAACCTCCCATTAGGGTTTTGAATATGTTAGTGATTATGCATAAAATAGCATCTTTTTCCTGTGCTGAGAAAGAAAATGAAATATCCACTCATTGTTTTTGTGGGTGCTGTCAGTAGAGAAAGCCCCAGCTCTGTCTGATCTCCTGCCCAGGCAGCTGGGTTTGTGTTCCCTGAGCAGCTGTCTGCAGCTAAAACCAATCCTGTTCTACAGGGACTCTTATGCACTTCCTGTGTGTGTACCTTCAATCTTTGGGCAGAATCAAATGCAGGATTTGTTATGTTCTTGAAATGTGAGGTATTTGTCCTGTTTAAAATGCAGACATTGGAAAAGGAAGCTATAATAGTAAACATTACAATAAATTAATACAAAGGAAGGACGCAATAATAGGCACTTTGTGTGCTTTCCTTCCATTGTTTGGATAGCCTTATGAGGTCAGTGATTTTATTCATAGTTTATAAGTGAGGAAAGTGAGACATGGGCTGAGTATCTGATCTAACGTCTCAAGCCAGTCGTAATTCACTTGATTCAGTGGGGGAACCAGCACTGAAACTCGGGTTGGGCAGGCTGTAAAAGCCATGTTGCAAAGCCCGTGTTGTTTCACTCTTCACTATGCCAAAATGCATGCCAGGAGGCTCTAGCATAAGAAATGTTTGCTTGTTAGACAAAGTTTGTTTATCCATTTATCACTAATCTGATTACTATGCCAACTTGATAGAATTTGAGCCAAAAGCAAAGATCTTATCTTAGTTGGCCTGTGTCCCCTTATTACTGGTAAATTTAGGCTTTTTTGAAATATTAAAAATAGCTTTTACACTGGTACTTACTTGGTTCAAGAAATGTTTGTTGAATAAATTTAAGGCACCAATAGGGTTCTAAAATGAATTAAGACCCTGCCCTTATTTTCTCTGGGGAAATAAGACATGCCCAGGAATTTCTAATACCAGGAGACAATGAGAAGTGCTGCAGGGAGGGCCTGGCCAGAGTGTTCCTGGAGCTAGGGGAGAGAAGGAATTCATTCCAACAGAGGAGATGGGCTTAAGATTGAATTTAAAGAATTTGAACAGGTAATAAGAACAGAAAGGAATTCGTGGCGAAGGGGACAGTAGAATTAAACTTTTGACAATATCCATGTATTCCTAGCATTCCTGAATCCATCACAAAAATGTTGATTTCCTGCTATGTGAGATTAGACATTATAGGTTAAATGGCAGCCATTGTGTTATGGGCAACTGGTTAAGCACTTGGAGGACTGGAGAAGAAACTGAACTGGGTAGTTTTCATTAAGGATTCTATTCTGTTGTTTTGGGATAATTATGAATATTTGGGGCATTTTCCTTCCCTCTTAAAAAAAGTGTATATGAATTTACCCAACCTGTGCAAAGAGAGTTTTTGGGTTTTTTCTTTTGACATGTATATTGAGTTGGGCAGAGTTTATCATCCACATCACCTTGGGTTAATGCTTCTTCAGGACTCAGTGGACGTGTGACAGGATGTGTAAAGTCTGCTGTCATGTAATTTAAGGCATTAGGAAATGGCTTACAGTATTAAATTCCTCACAGAAAAACAATTACATCGTAAAACCTTTTATCAAATCCAAAGCAGTGTTTCCCAGCGCTCCTTACTCCTCATATTTGACCCCATTTAAAAGCTCTTGAAGTCAGGATGACTAAGAAGGCAATGTCTTGAAATGGAAGGAGCACTGGACTTGGGGATCTCAAGGCTCATCTCTGCCGGTGCTTGGCTTTGTGGCCCAGGGCGAGTTCTGAAACCCTTGCCTCAACTGTAAAGTGAGGAAGGAAGTTGAGATGTTTTCTGAGGTCTTTTCTGCACCTCATATTCTGAGTCTGAACGTTTCTTGTATTTTTTGGTTTCAATTAGGACTTTAAAAAAACAAAATTGCCTAAAGAGAAGGGGAAAAAAAATCTTTTAAAGTTTGGTAATATTTCCTGAGCTGTTTACTTCATCTCATGGTTTAGATATAAGCTTCTGTAGTCTGATTATAAGATTGGAGGAGACCAGAATGTTAATAAAGCAGTATTTGATTGGGAAATTGGGGATGGTTGGTGTGCTTTCTCCCCACCATGCCCTCCAATTCCTAACTGACAGGGAGCCACAGTTTCTGGTAGGTGTGCTTTGTTTCTTTCAGCTGTGTTAGGGTGGGGAAGGTTGTTGCTCATTGTATACATATGACCACATCCTATCCCAGGTCACCGTACACAGTTAAGCATAGCAGTTGCTGAGGGGGAACACTGCAGCAGAGCCCCGTTCCTGGCTTCTTTGTAACATGAGACATTGCCCGTGTTCCTGTTCCATGGAGGAACTGAAGGGACAGCCGTTTCACACGGTGTGAGGTCTGTTCCTCCTCAGTTGCTGTCCAAATCTAGAAGTAGGACCTGAATCTCTACTCAGTACCCATTTTCAGCTACACTATTGTGGTATCTCACTGTGAGTCTATTTAGAGCCTCCTCAGCAGTGTGTTGGCAAATACCAGCTGTTTCTTCAGACTGTTCCACATTTTCTCTTTCCTCCTAAAGCGTGCCTCTTGTCTGGCCAGTACTTTGTGGGTGTCCTCTGTGAATTGCCGAGGAACGGGCAAGTAGTCTCTCCTATCAGGGCACTATTGAAGGAAACAAGAGCAGCGCAATGAGTATAGACAAGCGTACATTTGATAGAGAGATGTAAGTCTAGTTTTCTAACAGGATTGTGAAGGAGAGACAAGGAGAAACATGTTTTCTAGCTAAGAAGAGGGACTTAACACACGCTAAGTATGTGAAGCTAAGTCCTGTTTGATTTTGGAGTGTCCTGGCCTTAGCAAAGGCACCGTGGGATAGAGCAGTGCGTGTAGTCGATTCTGTCACTTATGTGCAGTAACCTAAACAGAACTGAAATGCATTTCATTGTAGCTAATGCTATTTTTGATCAAGAAGTGATTTGGTCCTGAAAAATACATTCAGGCTGAGGTTCTGTGGCACTTACACTATGCCTCAAGACTAAAATTGTGTAATGCAAAGTCTTTACAGCGTGGGGTGATGATCCTGCAGCCTCAGCGGGAGGGTACGTGTTGACATTGCCTCAGCACCTAAGACTCCTGGCTGAGGCTAGCTTATTCTTGTATCGACAATATTGCATTTTCCTTTTATCCAACTGTGCGATATACTTGCACTAACGTGTCCTCCTTCCCACACAGTCCTCCAAATAAAATGTGTCCTCCAAAAAGTATAGCCTGGAGCAGAATGTCTGCCGTGTTTATGCTCTTCTCTTAAATAAATCTCACCGTTATTCAAAGAAAAAGTCACATCTTTTGTACTCTGGGGCCTTCTCTCTGCAGGTGGAACAGTTCTGGAGGTTTTACAGCCACATGGTACGTCCCGGGGACCTGACGGGCCACAGTGACTTCCATCTCTTCAAAGAAGGAATTAAACCCATGTGGGAGGTGAGGACTAAGGGCCTTGGACTGCTTTTCTGAGCATGTTTTTTGTTTGTTTTTAATCCCTGCCAAGGTTGAAAGTGTTGTAAAGTCTTCTCTCAAAACTACATCACTATTTGGTCCATCCTTGGAACTGGGACCTCTCGGAGAAAGCTCTGATGCCATTGCTTATCTGGGTGGTTTTTAAAGATTGTTTCATCACTAAAATGACATTATAACAACATTAAAGTATGCTTTTTAAAAAAATCACCCTTACTCTCATAGTATTGGTGGGGGAGTGTAATACCATAGTATTCGTGATTGAAGTGGGTAAAAAACAAGCTTACAGGCAGTAACTGGAGCCCTGGAGCTGAGCTTTATGATCTCTTGCTGTAATTCATCTTCTGTTCTGATGCCAGGTCATTTTTCTAGAAGACAGATGTGATCACATCTCCTCCCTCCCCCAATTAAAGATCTTAGGCAGTTCTCCATGGCTCACGTGATCTTGCGCCTCATTTACCTTTCAGGTCTCATCTCCTACCATCTTTAAACCTTACCTTCAGTGTAGCTAGACCCTCCAGTTTGCATCTCCCTGTGTCACGCTCAGAGTTTGTGCACAGACAGCGTTCTTGCCCGTGCCTGCTTTACCTGGCTGGCTCCTTTGTCCCTCAAGACGCAGCTTCACTGTTTCCTCTTCTTGAGTGTTTCTGGCTGTCCTGTTCTTTAGCTTACTGTGCATATCTCTGTTAGAGCAGCGCTTGTCAGACTGTACTGCTGTAATTAGTTTTCTTGTCTGTCTCCTCTACTAGATTGGATCTTGGTAGAGACTGTGGCATCATGTCTCTGTATTTGGGACATGGTGACACTAGGTAAACTTTTAGCAAATGAATTGAGGAATGGTCTGTGTTTGAAATTTTACGTCATTGCTTTTTGATTTCTAAACTAGTTCCAGAAAAAGAGGATTATTTTTAAAGGGTCTGTTTAGCCGTTTTTTGCAATGGTTTGTACCGAGAATCCCCACCTTGGGGTCCCCCCCCCATTTCTTCTCTCCCTAGTCCTACTACCGTTTTTCCTGTAAAGTTGAATAGTTGGAAAGTGACAAGACTTCTTAGTGTTCCAGGGATCCTTGGCATTTTACTGCCTTAATGCAAATGAGAAAAAGCTGTGAAACCATATTTAAACTTTAATGCTTTCTCTTATTGTACAGGATGATGCAAATAAAAATGGTGGCAAGTGGATTATTCGGCTGCGAAAGGGCTTGGCATCCCGTTGCTGGGAGAATCTCATCCTGGCCATGTTGGGGGAGCAGTTCATGGTTGGGGAGGAGATCTGTGGGGCTGTGGTCTCTGTCCGGTTCCAGGTAAGCCCCCACACAGGTCTGACTTCATGTGTTGCCTTTGCTCTCCTCGCTGCCTCCGGTTCACTGTGATGATTCCTTCTGTTCCTCCTGTAGGAGGACATTATTTCAATATGGAATAAGACTGCCAGCGACCAAGCAACCACAGCCCGAATCCGGGATACACTTCGGCGAGTGCTTAACCTACCTCCCAACACCATTATGGAATACAAAACCCACACCGACAGCATCAAGTACGTGTTGGGGGGGGTTGGGGGGACATATCCCTAAGCTTAGCAGCAGCAGGTCTTAGTTGAGCCCAGAGCAATATGGTCATCCAGGAGACTGACTTACGGAGAAGGGACAGACCAGTCTTCCCCTCTAGTGCTTCTGGCCACTTCTAGCAGTTCTTTGCTGGCGAGGCTGTCTTCCCACCTACACTGTGGGGTGCTTTGTATCCGAGAGAGCCCTTCTGCAGAAGCCCAGGTGCACTGCCCAGGCTTGCTCTATTTACACAGGCTGTCTTGTCATTCATTTGCTAACCACTGTCTTAAAATGAAAGACAAAGCACTCTTCTTTTTCTTGCTATTTGTTAAGATGATTTCACGGGACAAGAAAGTCCCCCTCCCTGTCTGCCCCCACCCCACTTGCATGTCTTCCTAACCTCTTAGCTTCAGTCTGTTTTCTCTGTCCTGGGAGACTGACATCTTATCTGGAATGATGACTCCATTTCCTTGTGTGTAGAGCTGAAATGCTAAGGGAAGCAGAATAGTGTGTTTGTGAGAGTAGAACTTAAAGGAAGCGTGAATGCCAAAGGGGAAGTAAGCTTTGCATCCACCTAGAACTCAGGGAGAGGGAGCTGGATGTCCACAAATGAGAATCACTGGTTGGGGTCACTCCTTCAGTGAAGGAATATCATAAATAAACTCAGGTTATTATGAACTCAGGTTGTGGGCAGTGGTGTTAGATTTTCTCAAAACTGGAGGGAGAGCTAGCCAACTGGAAGTCCGGACTTGTAGGTTTAGGTCTCTCCTTTGACTCCAGCATCAACATGTGCCTTTGGCAAGTCTCTGCCACTCTGCTTCCGTTTCCCCATCTGTAAAGTGGGGGGTAATAATACTTCACCTAACAAGGTGGTTTTGGGGCTGATTTAATCTTTGTAATTGAAGGTCCTGAGATGGAGAGTGCTCTCACAGGACCAAGTAGTAGTATTGCTATCATCATCATCATTAGTAATATTATCATCATCATGTTATACTTATTCAAGACTAGTAATGGGCCCAGTGGTGGCATTGAGCAGGCAGACCATTTGGGAATCTTTTTCCCATGCAGTCACAGATAATGTTGTGGGTGGAGTTGGCTTAAACTAGCTAAGTGCCAGTTTTTAACTGGGAACACTGCCAGAGGAGCTGGTCCATAATCCAACTGCTGGGTATGCCTCCTTGTAGCCACCAGTGGCTATCAGCCAGCCGTGGCCCTGGTTGCTTGCCTTAGCAGTCCTGGTTAGCACTGTTTTTCTCTAGGCAAGTTCTTCCTGCTCTTTGTTCTGAGATAGAAGTAGTTTCTGCCTTCCAGCCAGACTCATTCCAGGCTGGAGGGATCCACACCTCTTTTTTCCAGGACTCTTCTTTTCAAGGTTCCCAGATGCCCCCCACCCCCATACCCTGCAAAAGCAAGCTTTTCACCTGGATAGGAAAGGGAAAGAGGTACTTCTCAGTGCTCCCCTCCCCACTGTTCTCCCTCTCTCACACCCTGAGGCAGTTCTTCCTGACTTTTGTAGAAACGTGTACAAGTCCTTACAGAGTCTGGGAGAGAGCCTGTGGGGTTTTGCCTTAGTCTGCTGCTTGCTGCTTTATCCAGAGGTCTGCCTAGTTCTCCAGCCCTGCAGGTGCAGGGACCAGAAAACCCTCCTTGACACCCACATGCTACCTTTCCTTGCGTCTCCCTCTTTCCTCTCCCAACGTGCCAACCTTTTACACTTCCACTAGAATGCCAGGCAGGCTGGGCCCCCAAAGGCTCCTTTTTCAAAACCTCTGGAAGCCGCGGTTGAATGTGCCATGACCCTCTTCCTCTCTGGATGGCACCATCATTGAAGCTGGCATCATCGGAGTCTCTTGTTCTGTTGGTGTGCTACCTGGAAGATCCTTCCGTCCTGGACAAGAGGAATTGGAAGAGCGTTTTATGTTTTGAGAACAGGCTGACACGCAGCAGCTACGTCATCAGCTGAGATCACTTAATAAATGGTGCTAAACTAGCTTGTCTCCTGCTCTTGCTCTTTATGGTGCATCAAAGAAGTGGCCTTTCAGACTGATTGTCACCATATTAAGGAATGGCACAGACTTCTCCATGGAGGGCCATCCGGGGAGTGCAGCCTCATTTCCATGAGTCCATTGTGTGGTGTCACATGGTTCCAGCTCTGCTGAGGTCTGACATAATGAGGTGACATCTAGCTCTCAAAATGAGACCCCATTTTCTGGTACTTGAATTTTAGTTCCCATCAGTCACTGATGACCACCTCAGAGTGATTCCAGATTTAGAATTCAGCTTGAGAGTCTGTTAAGGTTGGAAAGAGGGATCCTTGGCCTTTGCTTCGCTGACTCTGTTTTCCTTTACTTCAAAGAAATCTCTTGCTTGTAGGTAAAGCCCTGCTTCCATCTACGTGTGGCTGTACGTATGTAGCTTCCTTGCTTCGTGTTAACAGGGTTTCTCACTGTGCCACAGCTGCCCAGGCCACAAGCTCTTTGCCAGCCTTCTCCCTTCTGCTTTCCCTGAAGAGCCAGGTCATCTTCCTCTTTGAGCTAGCCCTGCTTGCAAGGCCTCAAGGTTCCAGCCCTTCCCTTTCTCCCAGTCCCCAGAGTCATTGTACATCAGGATCTGGAGTGGGGAAATGTCTTCATCTTGTGTGAGTTTGCTCCTTAGGATATCTGACTGTAGCACATACCAGCCCCTCGTGTACTTTGTAGCTTGGCTTGTATGTGTTGAGGTGTGGCCTTCAGGCCCCTAACCTGCATGTAGAATTTCAGTAAGCCTCATGTTACTTTAGAGTTTCTTAGGAGCTACCACTAAGACCAAAAACAAACGATTTTTGCAGACACTAAGTCAGATTGCCTGATGGCATCTGTGATGGTGGCTCTGGGTGTAATGTGGGGTTTTCCAAAGTGGCTGTTCCCTTTTGGGAGTGACACCCTGCACATATACCCTCCTGATTGACCACCAGTCTCCACGTGGCCCAGGATCCCATAGAACATACATCAGGACTAGTACCCTGAGCTCAACATTCTGGAGGTGTTTGTGTCATTGCTTCTTTGTTTATTGCGTATCTAAAATTGGGTAAAGTACCTAGAAAATGGAAGGTTTATTGGTATATGGAAATGCCTATTTTCTGTGTTTCCAGCATTTGGCCCTTCTGTGGCCGTTTCCCTCATGCCTTCCACTATATGTCACATGTACTGACCTTAATTTTAGCTAATATAACTGGTCCAGGGGATGAGGTTGATGTCACTTTCCAAAGTAAGAATTGGTCAGAAAGCACCAAACCAACCTTGAGACCCCTCTGATCCTTGCCACATATGAAAAGAAGTCAGAGCTGTTCTCCTTGGTTCTGTTCCTTGTGGCTCTTCCACAGGTATGGTTTTGTTTGAGCCAAGGCACAGCTGCTGAGACTTGAGAAGTCAAGAGAAATGAAGGAAGAAAGAGCCAGCAGTGGTTCTCCCCCAAGTACTCTGGAGATTAGGGTTGCTGGAAATGGTGAGGGGAATGTCTTTAGGAGTGGCTTAGATTTCTCGGTCGGGTATGCCTCCACCTCGCTGTTTCAGTCCAGTTTCCAGTGTGCTTGTCGACTGTTTGGTCTTTCCACCCTTCCCCTAATCACACTGCTCGTGGGCTTTCCCTGCAGCACTCCTAGGTGAGCTCACCTCTCAAGGCAGAGGCTGCTGCACGCAATGCATAACAAGCTGCTTTGCTGCAGAGGGGCTGCCTCCTGCCCTTGTTTACTGGCAGCACTTCCCCCTTGTGGGTGAACAGGTCCCACCAAGAAATAGGAAACTTGTTAAATTGAGTATTAGCTCTGCTGCATGGCTTCTTTTAAAATGAGGCCGGTTATAGTTGAGGTTTCATAAGTTTGGGTCCTTGCATCAAGTGACTCAGTGAATCCTCGATTTTGAGGAGAAATCTCTTAACATAGCCAGACTTGCATCCCAGAATCATGGGACCACCAGGATAAAACTTTGGGCACAGAGCCATATGAAGCAGCAGTGTCTTTTCTGAGGAAATTCCTCTTTGGAATAGTCCCATTGAGTCCCTTTGTGCATCTGACCTGGAATGGACAAGAGAAGACAGGGCTGGCTTCACTCAGTGAGCTACAGTGTTGGGGAAACTGACCAGACTCCTCTACAGAGAGTGTTGAGGGTAGGTGACTTCTCTCTGTTCTAGAGGAGATGCTGGTCAAATTGTGGGGACCTTCCTTTACCACGTTCAGATTTCATTGTATTTAAACATTGAACTTTGTAGGCAAGGACCAACCATCTCTTCTGTCATGGCTAAATAATAGCCCAGTGGCACTAGGTCACACCAGCATAATTGCTGGCCTGGCTTTGGGTTTTTGAAATGTTCCCCCACACTGATGTGCAAAGTAAAGAAAGCCCAGAAGAGCAGGAGGCTGAGCTCGTGAGCTCGTCCATGGGTGTTGAGGGCCAGCTGAGTGCAGGGCTGTGAAGCAGGCTTTGGATGGAGGTGGGGCAAGTACAGAGTTATGTAGAAATGAGATCTCTGCTCACAGTTTGCCTTCTGGTAAGTGAGCCGGGACAAGAGTGGTCTTTAAAAGGCCTTTTGTTACTCTGTCATTTGAATCTGTTCAGAATCCCCTGTAGGCTATTTTAATCTCAGGGTAATTTTTATTTTTTTTAGAAATTCCATTCATATGACACTTTTAAATTTGTTCTTTCTTTACCTTTGAAAAACGTAAGTTTTAATATTACCTAATATGCCTGGGATGCCAGATGGAAAATAGCATATTCGCACCTAGCTTTGGATAGTTTAGCCAAGCACTGGCCCATGAGAATGAGTGATTATACAGTGACTGTGACCAACTGTTTTATTTCCACTGAATCCGTGTGAGGAGATTTCTTTACCCAGATTCTTCTGGTTGAGGTTTAACATATGAAGAAGATAATCCTGAAGAAAATGGGAGGGCAGATTCATACTGGAATGGATTAGAGGGGAACTCTGAAATCCATATTTCTGCAGGTTCCGGGCACAGAACTGCCCTGTTTGGACTAGTGTAGGCCTTTTTAGAAACAACAGGATCAATGAGATGAACCTTCAGCACACTACAGCCGTGGACTCTCTTGTTGATACCCAAGTTGCTTAAAATAGAATTTAAATCCCACTGTTAGAACGAGAGAGGGGTTTTCCTGGGTCGTTGCCCAAGCATCGGACTTTGCTTTGCCCTTGCCTTCATTTGGATGAAGAGTGGAACGGCCTTCTGACGTCACTCATGGACTCGCGAAGTTCCTCGCGTTACCATCTCTCCAGAAAGGGCTGTGGAACAGATGTCGCTGTGGAAATTGAGTTTGAATTGACAAAGACTGGCATGCGGGTTTGGCAGTCTTACATTTTTCTTCAGTTAGCATCTATTAATAGCTTTGGTAATCCTCTCTGAAGAAACTGTTAACTGCAAATCAACCTCCTGTTCTCAGAGGTAGATGATTCACGTAGAAATGCTGCTGTTAAGAACAGTGAAATGCTAGTGAAACTGGAATAGACACTGCCTGGAAGAATGGATTTGTTGTGCCAGGTCCGTGTTTAACCCCTCCCTGTGTAAGAGAAGAAGAAAAGCTGGCTGTGATGGCCTGGTAATGAAGTGTGTCTCAGTGGCCGTAATATTAAACCTGTAACGAGTGACGCAATATGTTGTCATCTTGGGTAGTGTCACCCCTTTAAACGGAGAATGGAATAACTGACAATAAGGACTTTTATATTTAGAAGCGCCAAATTACCCATTTTGTATATAATTCCCAGGGAACTTACTAGACACTTTGTCCCTAATGGAGCTGAAAAAGGCAAAGAGGTGGTTCGGCTCCTCTGAGGAAACTTGGCAGGAGTTAGAGCTTCTGGGCGCAGGGGATCTGGTGCTCCTCCGTGTTTTGGCCAGCAGTCACCGTGGGCCTGTTCCTTGTAGAGCACCACCCTGAGAGACCGTCTGCTCCGCCCCCCACCGGCCCGTTTCTTATCCCTTCTAACCCAATTTCTAAACTGAGTTAATCAACGTGAAAGTTGTCATGAGCGTTGTTCCCTGGAAATTGTGAAATGCTGTGATCTACACAGTTTAAATTTTAAGCTAAGAGTTCCATGGGTATTTTCAGAAACAGATGAAGCCCAGTACAAATTTGGGGTCTGAGGTTAGAAGGCTGAGAAGTTTGGAGGTGTGAAAGCACTGCAGGTCGTGTGGTTTCCACGCTGCTTCTTGAGACAGCATTGCTGGTGGGTACCTGCCTTGCCCTCGGCGTGAGGCCTCATGAAGAAAGATAGTTTCTACCGCCTGTCCGTACATCCCCGAGGCAGAAGGCGCTGCTGCCTGTTGCTCCTGTTAATTGGAAGCGTCTCCAGTGATGGTTGAGCTTAGCTCCGACCTCGCTGGCCTCCCTGGTAGACTTGAAGGAGCTGATAGAAGGACTTGGCAAGTCCTGGAGAGAAAAGCAAGGGGCAGACTTCGCGAGTGGAGCAAGCCAGGAGAAGTGCCAACTGCCCCAGAACGGTACTGGCCACCACTGCTCGTCTGAGGAAAGGCTGGGTGGGAGACCTGTGCTTCCAGGACAGTGGGCCCCACTTGACCTTGAGGGTGTCTGAGATGGGGTGTGGGGTTATCGTGTCTGCTCTCCTTGTTAAAAAAGCTTTTGATCTGAATGTGCTCTTGTGTTTTTGTCTCTGGTTTGCCAGGGCCTGGGAGGAGTTTCATGGCCTGGTGAACAGCAGCGGCCGCTGATCGGACGCTCCCCCTCTGTCTCTCACACTCAGGGTAGGGCCTTGTCTATCTTCTCTGTAACCTGTGACATACCTCTCAGCCGTAGGACCCCTCTTCCCAAGGGGATGCCCTGTCCCCATTGACCCCCAGCATTGCCTCTGCCAACACTGGGCCTGCACTGGCCTCTCCTCTTTGACTGATTATCACAGTCTCAGAGGAGAACCCGGAGTCCAGAACCACTGGGCTGACCATCCTCCCTGGGCCACGTGTCTTGTGGTGAGCCCCGGCAGGCTGCTTAACTCACTAGCCTTTTTTCTCCTTTGGAAAATGGGGTTCCATGGACTAATGTGTCTCATCTCTTATGCCAACATTCATGATTATAAACGGGCCACAAATCTGTTTTCTTTTGCCCAGAGTTGGCCATTTTTAAGCCATCTGGCAGTGTCCTGTGAGTAACAGGGCAGTTCCACAGGCCCCAGTATGGGTTAAGTGAGAGGTATGTCTCTTGTGTGCTGGTGGTGTTTGTCCTTTGTGAAGAAGCAGCAGTGGAACTCAGGGTTTCAGCAGCAAAGGTGAACTGGGGGTAGATGGCAGGACTGTGTGGGAGACGCGGCTCCAGGTTGGACTGTAACTAGGCCATCACGTGTTTGCTGGCAGGAAGAGGCCCTGGGATACCGAAGGCTGAGTCAACTGAACCGTTCACTTTAAGAACATTTCTTTCATTTAAGAGAGTGCCGAGTCCCTGTCTGTTTAGCAGAGCGAATTGGGTAACTTTATTCTGAGTGAGAGGAATGGATTGAAAGGACCTGATCTGCATGTACCTGACCTGAGAGCGTATTCCTGGACATTAACTGCCACCCTCCCATCATCCCCAAAAGATAGAGAATTTTTAAAATCGCGACAGAACATGTCAACGGATGTAGCTGCTTCAGAACCCCCTTCTCAGGAAGGAAATGAGGCTTTTTCAAGAAAAGGAGACATGCATCCCTCAGGGCCAGGAGAAAGAGGCCAGAAGAAAAAGAATGACACTGAAGGACAGAAGCAGGTGGCCGGGGGTCTGAGCACTCTGTGGAGCCCATGGGATCTGTGGATAAACAGTCCCTGAATCCCACCCGCTCGGAGCATGCTGCTCGTGTCTTTTTTTTTTTAAAGATTGGCACCTGGGCTAAGATCTTGTTGCCAGTCTCTTTTTTTTTTCCTTCTTCTCCCCAAAGGCCCCCAGTACGTAGTTCTATATTCTAGTTGTAGGCCCTTCTAGCTCTGCTATGTGGGACACCGCCTCAACATGGCCTGGCAAGCGGTGCCATGTCCGCGCCCTGGATCTGAACTGGCGAAACCCTGGGCCACCGAAAAGGAACATGCAAACTTAACCACTCGGCCACGGGGCCAGCCCCCTTTTGTTTAATAGTTTAATTCCTTTATTATAAATTCAATTTTTAGATGATGATATTAGATTTTAAAAATTGCAATTTAAAAGGTATCTCTGTAAAATGTAGTCACCATAGAATTCTGAAATGGCTGCTAGTATAACGAGGGATGGAAAACAGGCCTCAGCTCTAATATTGGATCCATTGTTCTGCAGGCTGAGAAATAGCAGATATTCGAAATAAATTAATAAATTAAATTTCCAGAGGCCTGGTGCTATACTGGAATTGTTTTAATAACATTACCATATTTATTTCTAAGATCCTACTTTTTTTTTTCGCTTTTAATGTCCCTAAAACTGGGATGCTTACAGTGACTGTGATATGGTTTTTCTCACAGTTTAATTGGCAATGTTTACTTCTTAAAGTACATAAAATGATGGTACCTTTAGGGGCCGGCCCCGTGGCCGAGTGGTTAAGTTCACACGCTCCACTTCGGCAGCCTGGGGTTTCACCGGTTCGGATCCTGGGCACGGACATGGTGCTGCTCGTCAGGCCACGCTGAGACGGCGTCCCACACACCACAACTAGAAGGACCCACAACTAAAAATATATAACTATGTACTGGGCGGCTTTGTGGAGAAAAAGGAAAAATTTTAAATCTTAAAAAAAAAAAAAAATGATGGTACCTTTAAAAATCAATAGCATCTTAGGTTCTCTGAAAAAAAGAAGGGCTTTAAAATGAAATAGTCAGAACGGAAGAAGACAAGATTATTCCCTCTCCCCTCAGATAACACTAAATCCCCCAGGAAAAGTCCCTTTGAATTGCTTTGAAAGTCATGGATTTGCATCATTGCCATCTTGTAGTCTTTGTTCTTTTTGTTGCCCTGCATACCGTTTTTATTCCACAGATGAAGGGGGCACCTCATGGGTTTGGGGTTCTCCTTGAAGCACAGATTTGGAGGTCTGAGGGAAGTATTAGAGTCTAAACAAAAAGAACTCAGCTCACTTCATTGTCTTAACCGACTTGAAAGGAGCTTCATATTTCATCTCTGTTGACTTACCCTTGAAAGAGGTATTCTAGAAGAGACGTGTGCCCCGCTTTTGTGGTCTGAGCTGCTGTTTTAGAAGCCCAAGCGCTTCAGTCTTCCCATCCTCCCTCCCTTCCGTGTAAATCATGATCTATGAAGGAAAAAAACTGCTATTTACATAATAATTCTTGAACCACAAATACTTTTCCTCAGTTTATCTGATATTTTATGCTGTTACGTATGGCTGCTCGTATTGCCCTTTTAACCGTGGCTTCAGTAGAAGTCCCAGCTAGCTGCTGGCAGAGGCCTCTGGTTCCTCGTATATCTGGGCTGGCATGCACACAGCAGTGGTCTGTTTTGCTGGGAATGAAGTTGGCGTGGTCACTCTGGGTGATTAGAGATTGAAATTTGCCCTACTGAACCTAGGAAGAGTTTGCAGTTTTATTTAAAATGAGGGGAGGAGGAGAGGAGGAAGCCAGAGCTAGCCTGGGGTGGGCAGCTGATAGCCAGAGAATGGTCCCTGAAGACCATGTGTACTTAAGCCTGTTGGCTGTTTTGTAAGTGCATCCTCAGAGCCCCTTTCAGAGCAGAGACTCAGGTAGGGCTCTTCAGGGCCTCCCAGCTTTCCCTTGAGGACCTAGAATCCCTTTGGTGCCCTTCTGGGCATCAGCACGGTGGCAGGGTACCACAAGAGCAGAAGGACCCAACCACCTGCTCCTCTGTTGTCTGCTCATTCTGTCCAGAGTTTGAACTTGTCCATTTCTCTACAAGTACATAAAAGCAATCATTTTGAGGCAGAGCCAATTAGAAAGCTGTTTCAGAGTATTTGGGTAACAATTTCCCCAGGATGCCTGCAATGTGGAATTGGAAGCCACTTTGGGTGGGGCTCTGGTGTTTCTGAGGCCCTATTATCAGGACCAAGGGACATCCAGTAGAGAAAGAGTCCTTTTGACTTCCTCCAGCATTGTGGGTCTTTCTGCTCCCATCTCCCGTGCCGTGGAGCATAAAAATCCTCTGGAAAAAATGAAGATATGGTGGAAATATTGATATGTGAATTTTAAATCTATACACCAGGCTCAGTCCTAGTTGCTTATTTTACATAAATTCACAGATGAGGATGTAAAAATGTCCTTATTTCCTTGTAAAAGATCTGTCGTATTATTGAAAAAACAAAAACAAACAACCCTTCCCAAGAGCCCAGGCACCATCGCAGCGTTGCTGGGCGGCTGGAGGGGCTAGTTTTTAGGAACTCACTCTGAAAGAACAGAAGCCCATCTTTTTTAAAAAAGGCAGAAGTCGCCTGTGGCCTCCTCCACTTCCTGTCCAAGTCTCCCTTTCCTTGTGTCCTGATCTCTGCACTGCAGCCTGGGGGGAGGGACATAACCGAGGATTAGTTCCCAGCTGGTGTGAGGTGAACACATTCCTTACACTAAATTTGGCACCAAGCTATTCTCAATTCACTTTTTTTAAGAAAGGCTGGACCAAAACTACCAGCTGCCACCAGCCTGCCACCATCAGGAGCCTGTCACCCACCCTCTTTGCTCTTTGTTTTCCTTAAGATCAAATTCTGGGAAAACTCAGCTGGATTCTCTTGGCTCCTTTCCTCTTCCCCTCCCCTTTTCCAGTTTACAAATAGTTCTTAGAATAATTGTGACTTCTTAGGCTTTCTGACTATGAAGAGATCTATGACGACAGAAATAATTAGAATAAATATTAAATGTCTGAGTGGGAAAGTGTTATAGAATGCTTCAGTTTACCTGCCACAGGGAGAATCTGTTTCTGGCCCAACCCCAGTACAGTCCAGGAATTCTTCCAAAAGATGAGATGACCCGCTTATGGGGATGCCTTATCCTGAAAATTCTCTTCTTTACGTCACTAAGCAGCTGAGAGGGCTGGGTCCAGATAGTTGCCTGCCATCTCTCTTATTCCAAGATAGATAATTCTCCCATAGTCAGAAAGTTCTCTGCTTCTACCTTCCCACAGCCCTGGCTTTCCCTTCACTTGTCTTGCTTCTCCCTGCTGATTGATGTTTGTGATCCATTCGCTTGATGGGGATCGAGGTGGCGTCAGAAGGGAAGAACTAGAACAGAGCAAACCCTTCCTTCCTACTCACTTCTTTGTTGCTAGAGGTGCCCTCTGTCATGCAGACTCAGTATTACAGGCCATCGTCCCTAAGGGGGCTCAGAAATAACACAGACACATCAGTTCCGCCTGCTTTTCCCTGTCTTAGGATCAGATATCTTCCTTATCATCCTTTGGCAGCTACTTCTGTCACCTCAGTGGGGTCTGTCCTTTAGAAAGGCCTTTTAAAAAGATGATCACCCCATTAAGTTCTCTTTGTGTTCAGTCTTTAACTCCTTAGATGGAAATCATTGACATGCTCAGTAGCCATTGATAAATGAGCTACATGGTCACACATGTCAGATGCCTGGGAGTGTGAATTATAGAAATGCCAGTGGGCTTTTGAGATAGCATGAGTTTCGTCCAGCCAGAGTTCGCCTACACCAGCTCCAGTTTCACTCTCAGTGTGCTTGTCTACAGTCATCTCTGTGGTGAGGCTGTTAGTTACCGTCAGCCTGCTGCCATCGTGGAGGGGAATCTTTTAGCCAGTAGCAGGAGGAAACTGCTGTTTGGCTGGGCAGAACATGTGCTTTCATCAATATTTACTTACTCTGGACCAATTGCCGCATGCCTTATCAATTGTAGCAATTTTAAGATAGTTCAGGTGAAGCCAAATCTTCTAGAATGTCTCATTAAAATTAGAAGGAAATAATGACCCAAAAATCAGGTTAATGAGAATTTCTGTTTCAAAATTTCAAACAAATTTAAGTCTGAAGCTCTGGGCCAGAGCAGTAGACAAGGCCCTTCCAGCCCTGAAACTTTGGGGTTCAGATGGCGCTGTGAACTGCGAAGATGTCGTTAGATTCCTGGTGTGGGACAGGAAAAGTTACTCGTGGATGGCCAAGCCTGCCCACATCCAGTAGAAAGAAGCTATGAGGACACATCTTAGGATCTGTTACATACACCTCTGTTTCAGGAATTACAGCGAAGTTTTTAGAGTGATGGGTACCCAGATTCACCTCTTGGAATATTGTTTTATTTTTTATTTTTTTTTTTTAAAGATTTTATTTTTTCCTTTTTCTCCCCAAAGCCCCCCAGTACATAGTTGTGTATTCTTCGTTGTGGGTCCTTCTAGTTGTGGCATGTGGGACGCTACCTCAGCGTGGTTTGATGAGCAGTGCCATGTCCGCGCCCAGGATTCGAACTAACGAAACACTGGGCCGCCTGCAGCGGAGCGCGCGAACTTAACCACTCGGCCACGGGGCCAGCCCCGGAATATCGTTTTATAAGCAGCTATAAGTTTTGAACCAAGGGTTTTTTGGTTGGTTGGTTTTTTTTTTTTTAATGCGTAATATAATCACATGGTTCCATTTTTTTTAAGTATATGTGAGCGTGTGTGTGTAAGAGAGAGCTCTCCCTCCCACTCTCACTCCATCTGCCCAGTTTCTGCTGTGCCCCCTTCTGCAACCACGGCCCCAGGTAACACTGTTGTTGGTTTCTCATGTAGCCTTCCAGAGTTTCTTTATGTATGTTCAAGCATTTCCCCCAGTCCCTGCTCACACATGCTATGTACAGACTATGCACACTGTGTACATAGTGTGGACACACACACTTCTGCGCCTTAACGTATCAATTTCTCTTGGAGATCTTTTCATATTAGTGGAGAGCTTCCTTGTCTCGTTTGTTTTAAGCTGTGCACTGTCCCATTGTGGAATGTACCATGACATTAATATTTAACCAGTCCCCTACTGATATGCATTTGGGTTGTTGCTGATTTTTTGCTGTTGCAGACGGTTGAGTGGAAGTGTTTGAAGGGCCCTGGGGGGCGGTTTGTTGTGTTGGCATTAGATTAGCAAGGAAGGAGGCTCCTGGGGTGTGTCCCTCCCTGCATGTGTGTGGTTGCCCACAGATGATCTGTGTACTGAATGCTCTATTTTCTCCCATTTTTTCTTTCAGGGACAATTCAAGCTTTCGAAATACAAAAATCACATTGTGAAAGTACACAAGCTGGCAATAATCCTTTTCTGTATGTATGTGTTTGTCCGAAATGGATGGGAGGTCTCCAGCTGGTCCTTCCATCTGCTCACTGAAGGGACGTCCCTGAGCCGTGTGCTCCCCTTTTGCACTCATTCCTGGAGGACGGAATCCGCTAGACACCCTCCAGCATCGCTGACTTTATAAAGCGGAAAACGGAAAACGTGACTTTGTAATAGACAAATTTTTTTTTTTAATGGGATTCTATGGGGGGAGTTTCGCCTTTTGTTTTGCTGTGTGCTGTCCAGATGCCTCTCGCGGTTCTGTGTGTGCTCTTCTCTGCTGTACGAAAGGCATCGTGACCACGTGTACCAGCCAGAGCTGTCGACTGAGAGTTATCAGTATTATGAATGTCTGTGCATCCAGGAAAAGCTTTTTGTTGGAGTCCCGGAATAGCTATAAATGCTCTCTTCTAGCTCTGCCATTAAATTATTGGGACCTTTTGTTTATTTCTCTCCCCTGTTCCCCAAGCCCCCAACTTTCTGAAAATGTGTTACTGATTTTGTATTGTCTCCTGCCTTATGCCCTCCAGTCTTCCCTCCTGTGGGACTCTTTCCTTCTTAGGCACTGCTGCACTTAGAGTTTTAATCCAGTGGGCCACACTGGTTTCACTGAGGCGGCTTAGAAGGGATGCCTTGGTAAACTAAACTGGAGCAGAAGCCAGTTTGGTTAGGAGCTAGATTATAATAGAGGTTCCAAGGGCAGGATTTGGAGCTGAGGGCAGTGTCTGAAACCGTTTTCCCAGATGAGCAGGGCCTGCGTGTCCAGCCTGTTTCTATGGCTTCTTGCATGCCCCTCATTAAGGAAGGGAAGCAAAAGCTGGTTGTTGCCAGGTACTAACACTTAGTATGGTAAATTCTGTGATCCTGAAACTGGGACATCTGTGGAAGAGATGGCCATGATGGAAGGCTTTGTTTTCATGGCTGTGCCTGTCTGCAGTGGTGGAGACGCCTGTCTTTAGTCCTCATCACTGAGTATATATATTAGGAAACGTGTGCTGGTCCCGGATGCCCAGACAGAAACTCCCCTTGCAGGCCACTGCAGGCTCGCTTTAAAATGACCAGTCATGCATCAGAGAAGCCTGCTTCTGACTGCAGAAGGACTGAAGTCAGGGGTCAAAAGGGTACCTAGGATTGAAATAAGTACTGAGTACGAATCCTCCTGCCACTCCAGGGAGCATTGTCCTACGTGGCTCTTATAAGCAGAGATCACAGTACCTTAAATTAAGGCCTCTCCTGGAACCTCCCCTTGAAGGTCGGGGGCCTGAGCCACCTGGTCTCAGAGAAATCGTGTGAAAGTAATGGGCATTTCCTTGTTGTGTTTATGTCACTCTCGTCCTCTTTCCAACTCTTGAAAACCCTCGAAGTATCTGTCTTGGGATGCTTTTTCCTACAAGAACGGGGGAGGACAGGGGCCAGAAGAGAGGTGCTTCCACTCCAGGGAACGTAGATCAGACAGGAAGCTCTAGCAGGGGTTTAGGCTCCAGGGATACGAAGAGTGGATGCCAGGGCCGAGACATGGTGAAGGGCTCCGGCAGGCACAGGAGCAGCGTGGGCTTGCATGGGAGCGGAGGCTGCTTCCTGAGAGGTGCTCAGACCCCAGGGAGGGCTTCGCTTTTCCCAGACTCAGAATTGCCATGAAAATTCCAAAGAGAGCAGACATTTGGATTTGCCCTCCTCTGGGCCTCTTTCTGACCTGTGTGTGTGCTCCTGTGTGTGTGTGCAATGCGTCCATGAGTGAGTGAGGGTTTTGTCAGGCTGGGTGCTTAGGTGTATTGTCCATATTCATGTTTTTGCGCTTTTTTTTGGTCTCATTTGTTCCGATTTTTTAATCTCTTGTGTTTTCTAGAGCTGCTCGTGTTTCCCCTTCCTCTTTGTGACTGCAGTATTTGAAAGTTATTTTCCCCATCAAAAATATGCTGACCCTCTGCTGGTTAGGATGAGAGTTGTTTCTGTTTGGCAGCATCTTTCCCCCAGAGCTCTGCAGATAATCTAACAGCTTTAAATGGGAGATTGAAGAGTCGTTTTATCCAAACCACCCAGTTTCCAAACTAGCTTGAGAGGTCTTGCCGTTTCTTTTTGACTCCACAGGCCTCTGCTCCACTGAGCTATGACACAGTTGTGGTTATGGTATCACCTGTTCTAGAGACAAGGGAAAAAGGTGCACCAGGGCCAACCCAACAAATGTGCGAGGTGCTGCTGAGAGATGGGGCTGCTCTCTGCTTTGCACAGGCGGGCTGTTTCCCCATGGCCCCTCTGCTGGGTTTTCCCTTAGCACTTGGCCCTGCTCCTCTCCAGGGCTCTTCTCATTTTATCCTTTATCTGTGTGCGTGTGTGTGTGCCTGTGTGTGTGTTCCCTGTGACATTGGCAGTAGTGATAGTTTTCCACCCGGAGAGACGCTTGTGGTCCACGATGCTCCAAGAATGAATTTCCAAGTATTTGCCGGTGGAGGAACAGAGGCTGGGACGAGAGTGATTTAGTGATGCACTTTCAGAGCAATTGTCTACTGCAGTAATAAATGGAAACTATCAGCAAGAACCAGCCTGTGGACTCTTTAATGCCAGGGGTATGGGGATGCTGGTAGCTCGCTGCTACTCATTCTGCCCTTTGTGGTGGATCTTCATGTTAAATGCATTCCAGAACAAAATATGTGGGATAGTCTAGACAATGCCAGTATCATTGACATAAATGTGTCACAAAAATATTCTCTAACTGGTATTAATCATTGCCAAAATTCAATTTACGTTTTTATATCAAAATACAGTTGTTAATTTTAATTCTTCTCAACTGAGGGTAAGGGATATTGGAATGGAAGGAAGCTCAAAAAATTAGATTTTGAAGTAAGAAACCACAGCAGGCCAAGGCTTGGAATGTTTTATTTAGATCAAGTATCTTAGCCCAGAGGTGGAGTATGGGGCTTAGAAATGACCAGCGCCGTGTGAAACACCAAGGGAGAATGAAAGTTCCAGAGCCTCAGTTACTGTTCATGGAGGATTTAGAACAAGGCAGTCCTGAGACTCCATTTCAGTGGATGGAAATTTCCTTTCTGTGTGTATCAGTCATGCATGGTCCAAATAGGAGACAGCAAGCATGCAGGTTGTCTTAACAGTACAATAAAATTACTGACTAAGCAACTAAAAAGGCAAAAAGCAAACACTGAAAAATCAAGGAGGTAATGACTCCGGGAAGAGCTGCCTCAGGGTGGATGCTGCTCATTTGGTGCTGGGGTCTCTGAGGGCGCCACAACCTGGTTCTGAGCTGGGTGGAAATGGCACCTGGACTTGGCGCAGCTGTGGAGACACACTGAGGTGAGGACCTGAGGCTGGAGTGACGCTGATAGAACAGGAAGGAGCCCGTCCCTTCTTTCTCCGGCATCGACTTGTCCCTCAAGTGCACCCCCTGGGAGAATCCAGCCGTCTGGCTGAGCAGAACTGTTGGGGGAGTTCTCTGCCCAGTGTCACAAAAATGGAGTTAAGGCAGTGAGCGTGAAGCTGAGAGAGAGGAGCCTAGTCACTGGGACAGCCCTCTCCTCAGCCACTCAGCTTCTATATGCCCCTTCTACACATGCGTGAACTTCAGTAGTATCACAAAAGAACTCTGTTTCTGCCCAAGGTATGACGACTTGTAAGAGGTTCTTACCCTCACCCCCGAACTGAGGAAATGTCAAGTTCAACAATCCTTGTGTGGGGCTCTGGGCCATGGCGACTTTAATTCAGCCACAGTCTCATCTGAATAGAATATGGAATAACAGAATGATACCTAACGGCTACAGGATAAAGTCAGCTTCCAACAAAACTTGATGAAATAGGAAAGAGAAGAAAATTAGATGTGTGTGTGTTGTGTACACACAACAATCAAAGAAGTAGAGTCTGTCACTGTCATGAGACTGGAGTCGATATTTAGAACTTCCTTTTCCACCACACAGTCTCTATTTCCTTTGCCCTTAGCCAGGATCCCTGGTCCAAACCTGTATTCCTAAAAGGTCTGAAATAACTGTCCAGCCTTGATTGGTTACTTATCCGTTCATGCTTGCTATTTCTAAGAGGGACGTTAGAGGATTCGCTGGGTTCTGGCCACAGTCCTCCCTACCCCTATTGGGTAGCAGCACCCACCTTGCCCCTGGGTAGTGCTCCCCAGTCAGTAGGGTAATCCCCTTCTTTGCTTGTCGGTTGGGTGTCCCCAAGAACCCAAGTCAGGTGAGCCTCAATTTGTAAACCAGTGCAGCCATCACTGTGTTCCCTGGCAGAAACACTCTCCCTCTGAAAACCAGGACCTCCAGGCCAGCAGAACTCCATGTTGAGACTGGTGAGAGGAACCACTCCCACTTGTATCCCTTGGTTCCTGGGCCCACGAATTCTGGTTGTGGGAGAGAGGACTCATGCAGAGCTCATAGTGCATCCTTTAAGACAGAACCGGACGTTTCAGGATTTTGTCTCCCGGGTGCCGTGGTAACCATTCCACTCCTTATCCAGCTGCTTCTGCGTGGAGAGGGATGTGGTAAAACCTGTGAATTATGTGGTCACGGGCCTGTTGCCTCACTTCATTTGCTGTGAAATGAGTTTTGTGATTAAAAGTAATATGTAGAATACCATGCTGGTGAATAAGGCATCCCTGAGTCCGTGGATGGTCATGCTGGGAAAAGCATTACGGGGCAGGGAATGCAAATCCATATCCAGAATATGCGTCTACTTAACGTATTTTGCCAGAGGGCAGTGGAATTAATCCAGCCCTTTTTCTTTTCTTTGAGCTCTGTCCCCTGGCTCCGTGGATGGTCCGTGTTTTGGTATTTCTCGTCTCCTCACGTCTCTGCCCATGGGCCTTGCTTGGGTCCGCTTTCCCTTGGCTATGGTTCTGTTTGGTGTCAGTTGAAAGTGTGAGCCATGACACTTATCCCCCAGGCCTACTTCCATGTGACCCTTACACTGAGCTCTCCTCCAAGATCCTTTTGACTTGAGCTCAGATGTCCTGGACAAATAGCCTGGCCCCATCCTAACAGTTCATAAAAGCACAGCTCGGTGATGTGTCAGCTGCAAGAGAACAGAGTCCACAGGAAGTTTCTGCAGTCCTCAGAAGGTTCACCCAACAAACACTTGCCTCCTGTCTGGGAGGCTGGGCCATGTGGCAGGTATGGTAACAGATGATCAGGAAGCCTGGGGAGCTTCCTCAGACCCTTGAGGAGCTCACAGTCCAGGATACAGCAAGTGAGATGCAAAGAAGGGATGCAGAGTGAAGTGGGAGGACTTGGGGGTGGGCAGAACGCAAGCATCCCAGGAGGCCCAGGGAGGAAGGAAGGGGGTTCAGAGGTAGTCAGTGTGGGCCAGTCCAGTGGGCAGGTAAGCTTCACTCACCTGTCCTCTGAAAGTACAGACAGCAGAGCAGGGGGTTGCTGCTGGAGGGCTTGCCTGTGGATGAGACTGGCACCCTGTGGAGTACACTGAACCAGCTGGTGCGCACACGCTCTCTGTCATGCATCGCTCACTGAGTCTCACGTCAGCCCCATGGGTAGGTTATTATGGCCCCTACTGTACAGCTGGAGAAACCAGCAGAGAGGGGGTAAGCAGGCTGCACATGGCACGTGTCCTGTAGGGCACAGATGGGGTTGGACCATGGTCAGTTGAGGCCCGAGCTCCTAAACCATCTATTTTGGGGAGGCCCACCTGATCTGCAGGCCATCACCTGGATGGAGGGCAGTGAGGATCTCCAGAACAGATCTTTAGCTACAAAATGACTCCTGCTGCCGCAGGGGGTCCCAGTGGGTAAGAGGTCCACCCAACTGGCCACAGAGAATCAAGAATGAGCCAGCAGGGAGCTTCCCCTGAGGTCCCCGTGAGGGGTGGCAGGGCACAGTGGTTTGTTGGCAGGGTGACATTCTCTGTCTTTTCCTCTGATGCCACACCATCCTTCCAACCCCAAGAAACCCTGAGTCTTGGCCTCTCCCCAGACCCCACCATGTAGGTTCCCAGCATCCCTATTCCCGGTTTCCACAGCCATGAATATTTCTGCGAAGTCCTCCTGCCCAAATCATCCTCTCCATGTGGCTCCACCAGGCCCATTCTCTTGTCAGACCCTCTCCACCAGCTGTGTGGGAAGTGAAATTCTCACCCTGACATGAAATGCCCCGTGTTATACGCGCCCCTCCCCAGGTAAACAGACACAATGAGGTTTTGTACCCGGGGTCTTGTCTCCACCTTGACCTCCATCTGTCTGGGTGGTGGCTCAGAGCACCTTGCATCCACCACACTCTCCATCAGGAAGGGGAATGGACAGGGAAATGTGATCAATCTTGGGCTCTTCTCATGAGCCCACGAAGGCAGGTTGATCAATCAGATGTCCCTCAGCCAATAGAGCTTCCTCCTGTCACTGACAAGAGGACTGCTAATGCTGAGGCCCCAAGAGCCCGAGGCCCGTCTCTGCCTTGGCCTCACTCTGCCCTCCCCAGCCCCAGTCACTCCCCTCTCAGAATGGTCCCTGGAGGTGGTGAGTGTCCTGGAGAGGTTGAGCGTGTCTGGGGCTAGGCTAGCCTGGTGCCACATGGCACAGGCTTCTAGGGGGGTCTCTGGGTGCTGGCCCCCTACCCCGAGCTCTGTTTTCTCAGGTCTGTTCTCCCTGCTGTCAGGCTCGCAGTGCCCACCATGCCCCAGCTCCAGCCACCCTGGCCACAGTCCTTGCCCACTCACCACCAGGCTCCCTTGCTCTTGCTAATTCCACTGTGTATTTGCCTCAGCTCATTCCCCACCCCACTCCACACACACCATCTGTCTCCTGGTGGTTCCCACTTTGCCCCTTTGACCTCTAAGACCCTTCACAAAAGGCAAGTGGCTGGTCCCTCTTACATAAAAGAATGGCCAGAGGCCCTCAGTGGGCAGATCCCTGTCCTCCCCTTAATGCAGTGCTTCTTGGAAAGTTCTAGTGGGCAGCCAAGGTCAGAACCATGGCCTTGAAGGGACCCTCCTTTCCTCCTTCCTTCCTGCCCCCCAGCATGCCCTGGCCTCTGACAACTTGACATCTCCCCCACCCTCAGCATCCTCCCCCATGTAATCGGTGTGCTCCTCCCTCCCCTACGACACCCTCCAAGGCCCCACCCCCTGTAGTAGCTCACTCTGTTGTGCCTGGTACTGTTGAGGGATTGCCCCTATTTCTTTCTTTAATGCCCTCCCAGCTCATACTTTGGCCAGACTGAGTTCCTGTGGTGCCCCAGATGCACCCGTGTTCTTCCTGCTTTCACACAGCTCATCTGCTGTGGAAAACCCCCACTCCACACTTTGCCTACTTCTATCAACCTTCAGATATTGCTTCTTCCAGGGAGGCCTTATGCTTTACGGAGCCCTCCTGAATTCCAGGGCCTTCTTGTGTTCCCGCAGCACTGGGCCCACACCAGTTCCCTTGTCTGTCCTTCTTGCTTGGGGTGGGTTCTGTGATGACAGGGCCCCTCCCCCATCTCTAAACAGGGCTGGCGTGGAACAGGCACCCACAGTCACTGGCTGCCCAAAAAACTTCTGCCGAAAGCAGATTTACAAGATGGCTTAGACATCGCTGTG